TGACTCAACTTTTCTGATTACATTAATATAAATCGCATTTTTAATCTATAAAAAGCCTTTAACTTTACACAAGAGGCTAGCTTACTACCCGACCCATTTAATGTAGCATGATAAGAAGTATTCCATGTGAGTTTTCAGACCATTAACTATATTTATATACAAAGAGTCCGTTCGACCCTTAGGTCTGTTACGTAAAAAACACTTAATTGATACACTATCGCATTAATAATAATAAACTAGCGATGGTTTTATATATTAGAAGAATATGGTTAATAATAAATTGATAACAATATTTAATTGCATGGACTTGTAAGTTCATAATAAATAGTTCATAATAAATATATAAACATATTGGGACATTAACACGCAGCACCATCTAGTTCCAAGGTAAGCTACGAGACCTGTGTTATGGATACTAGATAGTTGATACACTACACACATATAACTTTAAATACATACGTATTATAAAGATAAACGCCCACGACTGGAATACAAACATTTGTGCTCATCATACAAATGAATCCCAGCGGGACTTGAACCCGTGACCGCTGGCGCAGCATTTAGGGTTACTACAAACTGAGCCAAACGTGTCATCAAAATAGTATTAGGAGTAAAACAATGATGTACTATGACAGTCGGCAAAGTATAAAATTCATAATATATTAGATAGAATACGTAATAGGGGCGTGACACAACTTCCCTTTTATCTTTGCTTCAGTTTTATACATATTAGGTAAAGTAGTTGCATTTCTAAGTTATCACTATCTTGATACAATTCGAAACTCTTAAGTTTCATAATAGTTAATAATAAATGACATGGATAAGAAGTATATTCTCTTGTGGTGTAGAATGACCCATTTCTTTAATGATGGAACACTACTGTGTTACATTGTCTTATTATATTTTTACCATGAAAAATCCTTTTTTTTGTTTATGCTTGGTTTTTTAATAGTAATTAAAAAACTTTATTTTTATTTAGGCTTCATAAAATTATTATGATCTCTGTTCATAGTCCAAACTTTTAAACCGTAATAAGCCACTTGAAATATTTACGGAACGAAGTACCTATATAAAGTCGTCTCACAGTACGCAAGTTCGACTTAAAGTGCATCATTTTTTTTTATTTATCGCCAACTGATAAAGCAAGGTAATAGAATCATTTAGTTCTTTGTTAAATACTCTCAAGCTTGCCACTTTAGTGTTACTTATATCAAGAAATGTAGATAATATACGAATGAAATCGATGATACAAGATAATTTTATACAATACTAGCGACTCACCTTTGTTTCGCTCGGGTTCGTCCCTTTATTATATTCCCCATACAAACTGTCATCCCCATTTTCACCCCCTTATGATTTTCGGGATAAAAAGTATACGATGTCCTTTCCATGATCTCAAAATATCTTCTTACCAAATTTCATCTAAATCTGTTCAGTACATCCAGATATTATCCTCTACAACGTCACAAACTCACAAACCTTTAGATTATATAAAACAGATTCTATATACATTTGTACAATCAATAAAAAGTAACTACTATTTTATGAATTATTGTCAGGAAATAAATCTTGAAAAAAAAATCATTCTTAAGAGGTATTACAACATTCTCAGCTATTAGAAAATATCTGAAAGTTACCAATTATTCTAAAGTCGTGACTATTGCTCAACCTTCATAAGCTATTTTATAAAGAGTGGCCGAAAACATCCACTTCACACAATGTGCTATCCACTACGCAGGAATCAAACCCATAATCTCATGCTTCCATACCTTCTTCAGTTCTCTATCGGCAATGACGATTGCAGAACGTCTTGTCTAAAACCACGTAGACTCTAAACCACATGAACTGAATATTTCATAATTACATTAATTACTATACAATAAAATGGATCACCACAAAGGGCCGGGTAACGAGTGGTTCCGCAATTAATACCGCCGATTGTGCTAATTGACGTCGCCTGTACGACGACTGTGCGTTATCGTTCGGATTATCACGCCTACAGGCCATCACGTCGAGTAATTAACGTGAACAGTTAAATGGGTATAAAAAATGTTATAAAGGATTTATAATAATATCTATACTATAATAAAACAGTAGAGGTTGAATGTCTGTACATGGTAAAAACATGCTAAAAACCGAGTCAGGGGGATGTAAGAAGACAAATAGAACAAGTCCAGTGTTTTTTAATTTTTTTGTTTCTCTGTCTGTGTGTCTGTTTGTACGGGCTAATATCCGAATCTATTGGACCGATTTAAATGAAATTTTGCATGGTGGTACCTTATATCCCCGGGCAACATCTTAGAGAGAGACTTTATCCCGGAAAATTAAAGAGTTCCCGTGGGATAGTTAAAAAACTATAGTATCTTATACAGCTTAGTACACAACAACTTATGCATCTAATTTAGTAAAATTGAACATTCTGTTACCTTATATTGCCGGTCAAACAATAGGCTACTTTTCATCACGGAAAAATGAACGGACGGAACCGAAGATATTTGCATTGGCTTATTGAGTAATCTTACTCATGACTAATAGTCACATTTTGACGCACATAAGTATGAACGCTTTAACGATAGGTAAAATTATCCTATAATTATAATTGTCAAGGGTTTGTTATTACTTTTCGAAATACATTCATATAAAATATTGACTGGCTATCGTTAAAGTTCAAAAGATACGAAAGGTGACATGTTAGGTAGAAAAGCAGAAAAAAAAGCAAATTAATAATATAAGTTAGAATAGAATCATTTTTTCTCTGGTCACGAAATTCAATGAAAATGTACAAGGATATTAACCGCTGGTGGTGGTACATATACAACTTTATTATAAGCCTTAAGCACCATAAAGTGATGGCAATGAAGTGAAAAACTCGCCCCGATATAAATTGCATAGCGGCGGAAACTTTTCAAATTAAACCCGCCTGAGACAAGCCCAGCAATCAGCGAGCTAATAGGAAAACTTTAAGAATATTGCCTTCCAATAGTTCACATTAAGACTATTCGCCCGCTCCGTCTATTTGTCTTTGTCCTACGCTTCAGGGCAGTAATATTTGAAAAATTGAGATTTTCCTGCATGAAATATATGGTTGTGTAATACTTTCTTGAATATTCCGAGAAAGTAATTTATCCTATAAAATAGCTATAACCATATATTGTTATAAAATTATTTTAAAAGAAGAGAATACCTCTTTTTTCAAGTTATTATTGTATAATTCTGTAGGCACTAGTACCTACGTAGTAGACACCATCTCTATTAGGTACCATATGATCATGGAAGTCATGATATATTAAACGTTGTGTAGGCATAAGAATACCATGCTCTTTATTTTAATATACAATAGAACTTTTGATAACCATTTGTGAACGTTTGATAGCCATTATATTATAATTTATTATGTTTTGACAGAAATTTAAAAATATGTAACAAAAGGTGAGACAGTAAAAAATTTTATAATTACATAAAACAAAATATTTTTATTTAAAATAGAATAAAATAATAATTTTTCTGTATTGCAGCTAGAGCCTAGTTGGAAGTAAAAAAAATCAAAATAAAACGCGAAAAAATAAACCGTAAAAATAGTTTATGGTAGTGATGATAATATATTAAAATATAATATATTAGGATAATAGTTATTTAATACAACCAATTACGTTCTCAGGATATTTTTATGGAAACTTGTCAACCCAATAATATAAATATAATATGAGCTATAATCAAATGTAGATAAAAATAAGTAGGTAGTTTTAAAATCATTTTTTTAACCGAGTTTATACAGCTACGACATAAACTAAGCTTTATGTCTCGTGGTTATAATATGTCATACTCTCAGTCTAAGGAATTCTTTACTCAGAAGTCTTATTCGTATTCGTCAGTTCTCTATCGCATTAATTGTATGTAACAACATCAACTGGCTACGAGTACATACATACATGGGAATAGTAGAAAAGTGCTAATATCGCTAATCTATTGTTAACTGTAACGCCGGCGTGTAGGGTTTAATGTCAAAATAACAGCTTTTTACTTATGAAATTATATATTATGATACTTATAAGAAAAACACGATTTTTAATTTCTTGTTTATCTGCCTGTTTGTTCTGGCTAATCTCCGAAACGACTGGACTGATTTTGACGGGATACACTGACAGATAGCTGATATTATAAGGAGTAGCTTAGGGTACTTTTATTTTTAAAAAAGAATTAGAATCTATCTATATATATGTAAAATATGAACTCGCATCCATATAATTTTTACCCTTGCTTGCTTATCGAAAAACTGTAATTCGTTATTGAATATATAAGTATTGTAATTAATAAAGGTAATTGCAAAGCTAAATCAGGGCTACGGTTTTATTACATCGCGTTTTCGTATTTCGTGTTTATATCCTAATGGCTTTTAAAGATAAAGTGTCCCGTTAAACGAATGAACGAAATCCTAATGCAGCCAGGGCCCTAATTGCGATGTAGGCGCAATGCGGACTTAAACACTAAGGCATTCTGCTCGCAGTTAAATTACAAATTATAGGTTTAGCTTTAAACGGTTTTAAATATATTTTTAGATATTTTTTCATGGACTGAAAATTCAACAAAAGTCGATTTTAGTAATTACTTTTTCATTATATTTATTACGTGCCTATCTATGTATGTAATTTGAGTTTATCTATACTAATATTGTAAAGCTGCAGAGTTTCTTTGTTTGTTTCAACGCGCTAATCTCAGGAACTACTAATACAATTTTAAAAATTCTATTTGCATTAGATAGCCCGTTTATTGAAGAAGGCTATAGGCAATGTATCATCATGCTATGCTAAAACGTACCTAAGGACGAATCCGAGCGAAGAGGTGAGTCACTAGTATTATATAATTGTGAGACACATCCAATTATGATAAATACTTAACTGCATCATACACACTCATCGCTTAGAAGTCTGCCGCAGCAATTAACCCTATTGTAATAAATACTCAGTGGAGATAATTAAATTTAAAGAATACCAAAATGGGTTATGGGATATATTGTGCCCTATATAAATATTCTTCAATTGTTACAGGTGGCGGGCGTGGTGGGTCGCGCAGATGTGCTGGCGTGTTTGTTCTTCCTCTCGTCCCTGCTACTATATCATGGGTAAGTTATTCTACTGAAACTAAAAAATACTATTATTATTTTACTATTTTATTACATAAGTTATAATTTATTACACACTTAAGTTTTCATCGGTCAGATAAAGTTACATTGTACGAAGTAATATTACACTCATCTTCCAAATTACAGATGACCGATGTCACTCATCACGATAATAATATTTTCCGTGCAATAAAGTTCTTTAAACAAATATCTAAATTTAAACGATTAAAATAAGATAAAATCTATAGCCTAATAGGAACAATAAAATAATAAGTTAAAATTAGGTACCTACTTAAGTAAAAGTTATTTTTTTTTGCCTATTATACAAATATAGCCAACGAAGACGTGTCATGTAAAAGACTTAAACTTCTAAAGACGTTGAGTGCCTATATTGAAAATTTCCCTAAACCATTATGGTAAACTAATTTATATAATCCTAGTGAGAAGCTGCCAATCTCGTTTAAACGTAAGACGTGTTCGCAGGCCAAGAATTCCCCTGGCATTTCTAAAGAAACCCTGCAAATAGAGCTTTAATGTCGTGCGAATAGTTTGCTCACTTGCCACTACTTCCATAATACTGTTACTGACTTTGCCCCTTGTTTTCGAAGAGAAACTTTGGAAAGAATGTTAGGGATGGCGAAGGATGAAAGTTTGTTGACGGGGCCATATTACGCTATCCAAAAGGTTGGGAATTGCCGGTAATTGTATTACAAAGTTATTGTCGCCGAGTTCTGTTTATATTATTCTTTTTTATTATTGTTGATCGATGTTTGTTTTTCGTCAATCACTAAAAAAAGGCTAATGCAAATAGCTTTACAACACTCTGTTACATATTCGTACAGTCAATTCAAAGTCATCATATATCAAACAATTCAGGTCATCGAGTAGGAGACGCGTGTGGTCGAGCGTAGTGCTGGCAGCTCTCAGTATGCTGGCGAAGGAGACAGGTCTCACCGCTCTGTTGCTAAATATATCTTTTGATATATACCGCAGTTGGAACTCTATCACAAGGTATTGATGCTCAGTGTTCAAATTTTCTGGCTTAGAGCCATACGTGCGACTTCGATTTTCATATAGCCATTATATATTTGGAGTAGCATTTCATCTATACATATAATAAAATTCTGAGTCGAATCTGTACATTAAATATTTTTTGGAAAAGCTTATTGAAATAGACATTATTATCGATACAGAGGCCGAATCTATAGTTTTTAGAATTTTTGTCTGTTTGTCTATCTGTCTGTCTGTCTGTTACCGCATCACAGAAAAACCACTAGAGGGATTTTGATGAAATTTGGTATAGTAAAAGCTGGTTATCCGGGTCAACATATAGGATACTTTTACCGCGGGAAAATGTCTCATTTCTGAGCAAAAATACAAAAACTGCAATGTAAGAGTATACTAATATGTAAAACCTAAGAATTTGGTTTTTGGTCATCTGAACGCGGGCGGAGCCGCGGGCAATGGTATTTTTTTATATATTAAGACTTACTCGATGTTGTTACGTGATGTCTTTTTATACAATAAAATTTAGGTGATGTTGATATTGTGATGAAAATGGTGATAATATTATTATCAATACGCGCCAGTCTCTCGATCCTTTAATATTATTTAGCTATATTATACCTACGGCGTACACAATACTATTTCAAACGTTTTTTATCGTTTTCATACTCTTAAAAAGGTATGTATATCTATATATATAATAAAATTCTAACAAAGCTGAATCTGTACATTAAATATCTTTTTTTTTCTTATTGAAATAGACATTATTATCATACAGAGGCCGAACTTATAGTTTTAGAATTTTGATCTGTTTGGCTGTCTGTGTCCGCATTATGAAAACCACTGGACAGATCATGATGAAATATAGTATGATAATAGATGGTTATCCGGATCAATATATAGGATATTTTTTACTACGGGAAAATATCTCATCTCTAAGCTAAACGTTAAAACATAACTAGGGACAAGCCCGAGCGGAGCGTGAGTGAGTCGCTAGTTGCACAATAATTATAGTGTCATTATGGTAAGTCGAAAGTGTATCTTTTCAATAAAATAAATAAATCTGATAAAGTGATTAGTAAGAAAACATACAAGTCGTAACTTTAGATGATCGAAGTATAGGTAATCAACATTTCACTTTTTCAGGTCACCATCAAGATGTCGCTGGAGAGGTGATAGTGTCTGGTGTAGAGTTGGGAAAGGAGTATTAGTTTTAATGCTACTGGCAGGAGCGAGACTCGCCTTATTGCAAGGATCTCTACCAGCTTTTTCAGCCCAAGACAATCCACCTGCTTTCCATCCCTCCTTTGCCATCAGGTATCAATTAATATATTTTTTATAATATTAGATGGCACTCTCATACATGATCGAATGTCCGTGGTTTTGGGTGGATATTTCGTGAGAAAAGTTTGTGATATTGATTCATATCATTTTAGATTTTTGTTAGTATTTAGAAAGGTACCTATGTAATTTTTGAAAGCGTAATTTCCTACCTAAAAAGCCATCCAACAAGTGACAAAAAAGAAGAATTGCAATTTTATAAACATAAATAGATATTTTCCTACTTGTTCCTAGCCATAACTAAATTTGATTTTGTTAAATTATTAATGAATTTACACATGAATCTTTCATTTATTGACTTAGTATAACTTAATAAGATTTGCTTTATATTTTCAGGCTAATGACATTCTGCTACCTGGCTGCGTTCAACTGGTGGTTGTTATTATGTCCGTGGACTTTGAGCCACGATTGGCAGATGGGTTCAATACCGCTGGTAGCGAGCGGTTGGGACCCTCGCAATTTGCTGACATGTGCCGCTTTCATTACTCTACTTGCTTTATCTTATAAATGCTTCATGGATTTAGAGGTAAAAATAATTTATAGGATAAGTATACCTTATATTTTAAACTAAAAACGTTATTATTCTGAAGTTAGAAATTTAGCGGAGGTTCCCCGTGTAACGAATAACACGTAATGTTACTGTATTTGATCTCCCGTTTGTCTTGTCAAATTGTCGTTTCACCCGACTTTGATATTGAAAGTAAAGGAGTGTTTTACATTACAATATCTTTCATTACACAGTTAACTATTTTCAGCGAGTTTGACTGTTGTGACCGGTTTTAAGAACTGAAGTTTTGATAAGCATTTTTAAAAAAGTCGCTGACCAAAAGTTAAACTTAATACAACATAAATACAACATACAGAACGAAACGATATCGAGTAATAATGTAATACATTTTAGCTTCAGCGTCACACGCCACTCGTATTGGGAGTTATGCTTCTCGTCATTCCGTACCTGCCTGCGTCCAACCTACTGGTCACTGTTGGGTTTGTGGTCGCTGAACGAGTGCTTTATATACCAAGGTACTTATATTTTTTGAAATAATATTTTAATTTATTTTTCATTCAAGTAGTAGGTTTTTTTAATTATTAGGCTGTAACTTTTTCTAAAAAAAAGAAGAGCAGAAAAGATAATATGAATAACCTAAGCTCTATCCTCTACAAATATATCTTTCCTTAGTTATTAGTCTTTTTCAAAGCACTATTTTACTTATACTTGTGAGAGTACAAGAAGGTGCAGCAACTTCAAAAGATCACCTTTATCGTTGAAATTTTATCCCAACAATCGAAAAATAACTCTAAAAACCGATTCATAATTTAATTTCAAAAATATTGCGTAACAAAAACAGTAAATGAAGTTGCGTATGTGTATCAACTATAATCAACAAATAAATAGGTAGCATCATGAGCGAATTAGAGACAATTCGTTCATAGGTAGCACTTAAAGAAATATTAATTTATATTTATTATTTATATTTCAGCGTGGGTTCAGTAGTGATCACAGTGTACGGTGTGCAGTTGATGTGGAAGAGGGCAGGAAGCAGGCGACTGCTGGCGCTGGGCGCGGCGGCGCTGGTGGCGGCGGGCGCGGCGCGGACGCATCTCAGGAATCGGGATTGGAGGACCAGAGAAACCTTACTTAGGTACAGATTGTCCAAATTTGTAATTGTTAATAATTTGGTGTTTTTTTAAGTATTATTATCTATCTGTATTGAACATCTTTATAATTTTTTTGACTCCTACGTTATGTAATTCTATTTCACTGTGATACTTACCAATTATCCAAACTTTCTCTTGGGATGTTATCTTGGAGAATAAAAATGATTATTATTATAATTTGGTGATACACTGGAACTTTTATAAGGGATGAATAAATAAATAGATAGACCAAAAGTTCAAGCGAAATAAATCAAATATAATGGTATGCAGAAACATTAACCCAAAATGACGGTTTTAATTAATTAAATAATTAAACTACATTTTTAATAGTCTATTTTTGAATAATATTATCTTTTTAGATCTTGTCGCGGTTTTATTTTGAGCTTCTGTTCTCAACTTAATTCCTATTTGAAACTTCTACTGCTAATTAGTTATTATTTAAACGTCGGAACAAAATCCAAAATAAATTCTCAACAAAATTCGAAAAGATTAAGATTAATTAATTATAAGGTTAAATTGTCGTTTAAATCTATAATTGCATTACAGACTATCTATTTATTAATAACGATTATTATGTAAAATAATGTAGAAAAAATGAATTCATTGTATGACCTGTAAAATTCTTGTAATTTTATCAATAAAATATCTCAATCTCAATCTCAGATTACTTAAATTACTGGCGATTCACCCTCGCTTCGCTCGGGTTCGCCCTAGGTGATTCTTAAAATGGACATAGTATTATTTTTATTTATAAAAGGATTAAAATAAAACAAATACTTAATGATAAGTGAAACTTACCACAATACATTAGTGAAAACTGTACCCAAATCGGTTAAGCCATTTCTGAGATTAGCACAAATGCACAGACAAACAGGTAAAAATTCAAAAAATATCTTGCATATACAGGCAGCAATCAGTTACATTTTTATTATATGTATAGATTTGTACAGTAGCGATCAGTTACATTTTTATTATATGTATTTCATATATACATATATACATTTTATAGAGAGGCTAATAATTGGAAACTAATTGTAAAAGTATATAATATATTTTTTGCAGAGCTGATCTAGCTGTTCTTCCACACAATGCCAAACTGCATTACAACTTCGCAAACTTCTTGAAAGATATCGAGCAACAAGAAAACGCTATCAAACACTACAAGGAAGCTCTTAAGTATGACTAAAATTACTTTTAAACGAAAAAGGTTTATTTATGTATTAAGATTCATATAATGCTTTAATCCTTCCACGACCGCGGACACGCCGGCGCTACAGTTAACAATAGATTTCTTAGAATTTACCTGGAGGTGTTAATTAAAAACAGAAACTATGAAAATTGGTTCATAATTGGATTACAGTTTTTTCATGACTATGTAAAAGAAGAATAGAGAACTTTCTTATTTATAATAATACCTGGTCCCTGTGTGCTGTTCCAGATTCTCAGAATTTTTCTCAGAATTCTTGTTCAGACCTATCTCTGCAAAATTTCATCCAGATCCGTTCAGCCGCTTTGACGTGAAATAGAAACAAACATCCATCCAACCGTCCTCACAAACTTTAACATTTATAATATTAGTATGGATATTTATTTGACGACATGTTTGGCTCAGTTTGTAGTGACCTTATTTGCTGTGCCAGCGGTCGCGGGTTCGAGTCCTGCTGGGGGCATACATTTGTGAGATGAGCACGAATGTTTGTACTCCAGTCATGGTTGTTTATATTTATAATATGTATGCATTTAAAGTTATATATGTGTAGTGTATCAAGTATCTGGTATTCATAACACAGGCCTCGTAGCTTACCATGGAACTAGATGGAGCTGTGTATAAATGTCCCAACATATTAAAATGTATATATTATTATGGAATTGATTGATTTTAAAGAGGGTTTTTTTGCAGCCTATGGCCAAGTTACGCTAGTGCGCACAACAACCTCGGCACGCTGGTGCTGGCGTCTGGTCGCGCTGAGCATCACTTCCTCCAAGCGCTGAAGTACAACCGCGACCATGTCAACGCGCATTATAATTTAGCTAAGCTTTATAGGTAATGTACCTATTCGTTATAATTATATAGTCATAACCGGGCGACTCACTCTCGCTTCGCTCTATTATGGAATATTAATCATTTCTCAAGTAAGGCATATAAAACTCATCATACCTATGTATATATAGTATATATGGAATATACTATATATACATAGGTATGATGAGTTTTATATGCCTTACTTGAGAAATGATTGATTCCCCATACAAACTTCCACCTTCTTTTCCAGGAATGATTCCCGGGCTAAAACTACCTAATATCCTTCCCAGGGTCCTAAATTACCTCTATACCAAATTTCATCTAAATCCGTTCATTGGATGTGTGAAAAGGTAATAGACAGACAGACAGAGTCACTTTCGCATTTATAATATTAGTATGGATATGATCCCTGTAGTTGTTAATTGTTAGATCCTGCAAAAAAAGTAATACTAGAGAGGTTCTACTTCGTTTCGATATTTTTGATTGTTTGAGACAGTATTTTAAGGAAAAACCTTAAAATGTGTCCATTATGTATTTCAATTGTCTATATAAATATTTTAGATAATATAATATAAAGAAAAACATATTATGAAAATGTACGACTTAAGCGTTTTTACATTGTTTTTGTCCGCTATGTACACCGCATTCGCTAGATCAGCCACCTAAAGATAATTAAAAAATAATTATATATTATGTACTCACTAAAATAACAATACATACAATCTCAGTCTAAGCACGTGACTTCAAATTAAATAACCTGCCTGAAAATATTTCAAAATATTAATTTATGGCAAACAAAATGGAAACAAAAAGAACCTTGTACTCGGCAAATTGACGTCAACGGAGACACTCATGTATTTATTATTTATTTTATACATGCAGGATAAGAGTGATAAGCCTAGTTATATTATCATAACGATGAATAAACGTCTGTTTGTTTGTACTTAAATTAAAACAAATATTATTAAATGACCGACTACGATAGTCCATGTACATAGATAATGATATTAGCGTTTTAAGATATAAGCATAAAATTTAAAAAAATATATAAAATGCATTGACCAACCACATGACACTAATTTTTTTTAACAATAATAACAATAATATCAATATTTAAAAAAAAAAACTAAATATTTTTGCTAATATACATTAATTTTCATTCCGCTTTTCAAACAAAAATATGTTTAATTTTTATTAAAAAAAATATATCTTGTTTTCAGAAAAAAGAACCGTATAGCTGAATCACTAAAAATGCTTGAACGTTGCATATCGCTGGAACCTCGTTTTGTGCAAGCGCATCTTGAGCTCCTTCATATTACTCCTGATAATGATAAAAAAATTACTCTCGACAAACTCCTTGAACTAGAGCCTGAGAACTGGGAACATTATTACTTATATGGAAATTGGTTAAAAGGACGAGGTAGGAATAACAAAATTAAAACTCAAATTTAGGTAACTTATTCTAATGTAATTAAAAGTGAGAGAATAAAAATGTATTAAAAATTAATATCGAATGCTATTGAAAATTATAAAATTATACTTAATTTTGTCAGTATTATATTCATTCAGTCGCTCTTGAAATCTTTAAGGTGGTTAAAATACAAAATATTGAAATAATTTAGATATATAAAATTTTCAGTTTTCGGTTGATCAGTTTTATGAATTCCTTTGTGACTAAGTTATTAAGCTAAATAAGGAAGAAGTCCCACTGCTGGGCGCGGGCCTCCCTTCAATACTCAGGGGATCAGGCCATAGTCCACCACGCTGGCCAAGTGACAATATCAGAAAATATCAGATGAGACCCGAGATTTGAACTTGCTTCACTCGGTTTACCAAGCGATCACGTTACGACTGGGTTACCACAGCCTTTTTGAAGATAGTTATTAACTACATATCTTTGCCCACTGTCTTTAGCTTAACAAAATAATCGTGTAGACATTTTTTTTAATATATTTTACCAAAAATTTAATGTTTAGTTTTTAAGAAAAAATATTGTTTCTCATATTAGTGATTTTTTTGTAATTCTTTTGGGTAATGAATTCTTTAAACCTAAAAATGTCCAGGTCTGTGGCCGCTCTCACTAGCGTACTACACGTCAGCGATACGGCTGTCCATAGCCCGCAGCGAGCGGGGCGCGCTGCCCGCCGTGCGCGCGGCCGGCCTGCTGCTGCGAGGCGCGGGGCAGCGGGCGCGGCTGCTACAACTACTTACTAGGTATGAGGGAAAACTAATTTTGGTTTACATTTTATTGATACAGACTACTATGTATAATATAAATATATTTTAATATTCAGTTTGTACCATTTAATGCTGTATTGTACCTACACCGCATTAAATTAACTTATTTTCTCACTTCTGAAGGGTTTCTGGAACTTTTCTCTTAAAGATATAAGTTATGCTTTATCGACATTCTGTTATTTTATTTTGAATAACATATATTTTATGATGCCTAAATAAATAAATAATACATAAATGCGCAAGTTTGTATATGTGTGTATGTTTGTTACGTCATCATTCTGAAACGGCTGGTCGGATTTGGATGAAATTTCGTACACAGATAGAGAGGAATAATATAGGCTACTTTTAAGCACCTAGGGATACACCCAAGCGTAGCGGGGTTAAGTCACTAGTTGTTAATCATATAATTAGTATGTCATCTAAGGCAAAAGCTGAAATTGAACATGAATCTGACGAGCCTAACTTAATAAAATAGTTCAATGCAGAACGCTACAAAATTGCTAAAAATACTATTTGGAATTCAGATCGAGGCTTAACATTTTCGAAAAGAACTTATAAATAATGTAACTACTTCGGTGGTTTAGTAGCTAACCAACAGCAAACATACATCTGCAAATCTGGAAATCTAGGTTCTATATTCTATCCCCGTACCTCGAATAGTAAGTAAAGCTATCAGTTCTACGCCGGATCTTGCATCTCCTGTGCAGTTAGCTAGTCTCAGTGAGATTGGCCGCCATGGCCAAAATCAGTCGGAAAGCTTTTATCTATACATGTAATAAAATTCTAGCCGAGTTGAATCTGTACATTAAATATTTTTTGGAAAATCTTATTGAAATACTTATTATTATCCATACAGAGGCCGAATCTATAGTTTTTAGATTATTTGTCTGCCTATATATCTATCTGTGACCACGTCACGGAAAAACCACTAGAGAAATTTTGATGAAATATTTGGTATGATGATAGCTGGTTATCCGGGTCAACATATAGAATACTTTTTACACCGGGAAAAATCTCATCACTGAGAAATCTATACTAAACGTTAAAACGTAACTGGGGACGAGGATGAGTCACTAGTTATTATAAAAAATATAAAGTTGGTATTGATGAGGTCATATTACAGGTGGCAGGGAGCGGGGGGCGGCGCCGCTGCGGCTGAGAGAAGGCGCGCGGCCGCGGCGGCGTGGCGCCTGCGCACCGAGCTGGAAGGACGTGCCGCTAAATATGCTAGGGCACCTCTGGTTAGATTAACTCCTTGAAATAATAAACTAGTACGCGTCCCCCATAACATATACGGTTCATGCACTTAGGTTTTATGAAACAAAAATGCAGAACCGTAGTTACGTTGTCACTGTGAGGACTAAGGTGATATGCCTCTTGCCTGTAATTGCACTGGCTTCCTTATCCTTCAAACCGGAACACAACACTGTAGTCATTGTTGCTTGGCGGGAGAGATATGTAGATAAGGGGGTAGTGCCCATCCAGTCGGACTCCTCAGTCTTGACAGAGTCCTACCGCCGGTATATTCTTGTTCAATATTTTCAATTCAATTTAAATCGCAGAAAAATATACATTAACCTATTTCCTCAGTTATACAATGTATACTAACATATAATTCATTACTAATCTCTGTAATCGATATAATCTAATTAATGTTAAATTAAATTTGTTGTAATTTTAAGTAAATTAAATATAAACCTCATATTTCCGCAGGTGACGTCTACCTGCCTTCATCACAGTCAGTTGGAGTTACCAAAAAACAAGCAGGATATTGTGAATATAAATTCGAGGACAATTAATAGTGTTCCTTCTTTAGATAATAAGCCAAGTTGCCAAAAAAAACTATATAATAAGAAAAGTTTATCAATATCTGCTCAGTATAAGCCCATACATAACAAATCTGAGAGCGGCTTGAAGAAGAGCTGCCCTTTGCATAAGAAGAAAATTAAGGATCCAAACGCGTTTCCACCATATGTATCTGAACATTTAATAAAGACTTACTAATTTAATAACTATAATTTTTATCTTCCTACATTTCCCTTTAAAAAGAAAAGTGTCACAACTCAAAATTATAGAATTATATTATAAAAACTTAAATTTTAACATGAAAGAATGAATGATATTCGGAAATTATAATTTTCATTACTTGGTTTCATTCTTCTTTTGTACTGTCTTTACAATTATATGGATTTATCGAGAATTGCTGAACTTATTTTGGTGAGACATTAAATATAGCTATCATATTATGTTATTTTACTTCAACAAATGTTACTAACTTATATTTAAGTATTGTAAATACGTAGCTAAAAACATTTTACTGCGTGCCGTTCTGGAATTGTAAAAATCCTATATCTAAATGTAAATATGAAATAACATAATGTAATAAAAACTATGTAACGGTTAAATGAAACTAAATTACTAAAAAAAATACAATTTACGAAAAAATCCACTCCTGAAATGAATTTAAAAAATCTGTAACTCATATTATTACTTTTTTTATGTATTTTGTTAATTGTATTTTTTATATAACTTATTTGTATGTATATATTGTATTCGTCATAAAACTACTAAATAAACGTAACTGAACTTAGAACTGAGTTTAGTGTTTTGATAATGAAAAGTGGAGTGGAAGTATGGAGTCAGTATGATAAAATATCAATAATTCATATTATCATAAAATAAGCATTCTTTTTTTTTATTTTGCTATGAAATAAATGAAATAGTATAAAAAATTCTAATCTTTGATTAATTTTTTTTTTTTTATAAAAGAAAGTAATAATAATCATTGGAAACCTGCAGCTACTATGTACTATCCAACCAACCAAAATTATCTAAAGGATAATGTTGGTTGTAGCATAATGTCTACTCGGTATCTCCCTAAAATAGTTCAATAAGAAGAAAAAAATTTTTTTTTCAACTCACAATACGTATTAACTTTTAATGAGTTAACGGATATTAGTTAAAGTAATTAAGTTAGATGTTAATTTTAGAATTGTTGCAGTATATTAGATTCGGTTTTACTATCAGGTTAAGTATAAGTATGCGGTCCTAATTAGGTATTTTATACACGATCTCAATTATTAATACGTTTGCAATATTAATTCGTATTACGTTATTGCTTGTATACTTTATTTTTTAATATTATACTGATATGCACTCGCCTTATTTTTGAGTCACTTTTGCCAGAAAATAGGAAAATTACAAGATGTAAGTAACATTTTTAATATTTTTAGTAGGTATCTTTGCGATTTATTTTAACCTGTTACTCTACAGTTAATACACGAGAGCTATGTCATTGTGTATGTGTACATGTATGTAATGAGTCCGCCATCCAGCACTGGTCCAGCGTGGTGGACTATGGCCTGATCCCTCTCGTGTTGAAGGCAGGCCCGTGCCCAGCAGTGGGAAGTTAAAAGGTACTGAATACATACATGTATGTAAAAATTGTATAGATCCATTCCTTATTGCATGAATCATGGTTCAAAAATGACTCTTTCGCATTTGTAGTATTAGTAAAACTTATTAAGAGTGACGGTATATTATTTATAATTCAACTTAAAAATATTTGTATAATTATTTAGACGTGTAATATACATATTCCTGTAAATGAAATATTCGTAATATAAGAATTTTCTATGCTCCCAGTACTATGATCACAAAGACATGAGAAAAATAATAAGGAAAGTAAAAATGACAAATTACAGATTGAGACTTCTTTACCCTTCATGTTCCTTGTGAATGTAGAAAAGTAGTTTGGTATAAAATTTTATACTTATAGTTAGCCTCTGATTAAAATTGAAAGCGTTATTATTCAAATAAATGAAAGTATTATTCTTACTTTAATTTTTCGCGGGAAATCCATTAGTTATAGTTCAAATGTATTTTGGTACGCTTTGATACTAACAATGAACTGGCCTTTTTTATATAAAAGATATAACGGAGTGGATTTTTTACAACTTCATCTTTGTCTGGTAAAAAATATTGACATATCTACATTTTGCTGAGAAAATTAAAAAGTTTCGCAATTTGTAATATTTGATATATTTCTATAATTCAAATATTATAACTTTTAAGATAATTACAAAAATTTAGGGTTGTGCCGTTTTACGTGTATTGTTATGAGTACTCAACTAGATCTTTTATAGATATGTCAACTTATTACTAGGCAAGATTGAATTATATTTCTATTCTTTATGCAACGAAATTAAGAACGTATGTGAATATAAACTATATGTATAATGCACATTTGATGCTCATTAGGCATATTAAAAAAGTATCTCCATACTTGTATCGACATCGTCTATTAATTATTCCATAACTTAAGAAAAACCCACGAACACATTTTTGCACCTTTAATTTTAATGTTAATAAAACATATCACACCTTTATACCTAATATACAATCAGAATTTAAGCTACAGTCAAAATACAAAATGAAAATTTTCAGGAAGAACAAACTAAAAGGAAAGATTTGAAAGATTCAAGTCCCATCCATATTCCGCTACTGACTACCATTTTGCAAACGTGTATGACTCATCAAATGTGCATAACTCCAATTAATTAACTGCTATCTATCCCATAGGCCATATAAACAGTAAATTGTAAATATTGTAGAAATAAATACTATTCGTTTAAAACTATTAAAACGATATCATTGTTAATTGATAACTAAAATTGGTATTTCGAAATATTTCGAATATCTCTAATTATAAAGGCTGTGTCTAAGAAGACGTGTATGAACGTTACGTTTATAAAAAGCTGTGTACAAAGCGATTTATATTATGTTTTAATTAACTACCAGTAAGTTACAATGTTGTTTCTGTACTATTGTCATTAGCGTGCTAACGTGGCTAGTATAGAGAAGAGGGAGTTTTTTTTTTCAAGTATTATTTATTATATAGTTTCATACGAGCTCGTTAGCGAGTACGTTTAATTGCACTGGAGATGTTCTTATGCCTTATAGTTCAAAACTATTTATCATAACTATTATAATACAACTTTGTGTGTCTTTAATGGAAGCGTACTTCAAGAAAGTGGCAGTAATATTGATTAATATTGTATTTTATTTTTTAAATAACATATCAAATTATAATTGAAATTGGTCTTCTTTTTTAGAATTGCATTATTATTATATATTTTAAAAATATACTTTTATAAAGGTTTAGGAATCGTTGTTCCAAATGCAGGCGACAATCAACGGAACGGTTTAACTGAACGGAAAAATTGTTAAAAATCGTTACATCTCCTATATATTTGTTCTGGCTATATAATTGACTAAATTATTATGTATTATTTTATGTTATTCTTAAAATCTATAAAAACTAAAATATTGTCGCCTCTTTCCGGAAGACGATGGATTGTCATATATTATGTGAGTGCTCTAACTGCTCTGTTAAAGCAGTTGTTGCTTTTAATGTAATTTGTTTACTTTTATGTGAAATAAAGAAATATTCAATATATTTCAATCTATGTATTTGCCTTCAAAATTTATTTTTAAAATTCAGAAAATAGTTGTTTTTGAGCCGAGCCCGGGTCGATCACCTCTGATATTCTCATGTGTGCATTTTTAACATATTACCACTGGTCTTACGATGAAGGAAAACAACATGAGGAAACCTACATGTATGAGGAAACCTAGCAAGTTTTCGAAAGACATGTGAAGTTCACCAACCTTGTCTTAACGCGAGGCATGAGCCCAGCAATGGGCACGTTAATAATGGAAAAAAAAGAAAAGAAGAAATACATACATACATTATACAAAAGTATTGATGTCAAGTTGCCATAAATAACTAGCTTTTCATGACCCACTTAATTTTCAGCGATGTTCTATACATATAAATAGAATTCTGTAATATAAAATTCTAGCTCAGTCGAATCTGTACATTAAATATTTTTTGGAAAATCTTATTAAAATAGTCATTATTATCGATACAGAGGCCGAATCTACAGTTTTTAGAATTTTTGTCTGTCTGTCTGTCTGTCTGTTACCGCATCACGAGAAAACCACTCGACAGATTTTGATGAGTTTTTGTATGATGATAGCTGGTTATCCGGGTCAACATATAGGATACTTTTTACCGTGGGAAAATGTTTTATTTCTGAGAAAAAATACAAAAAGTGCAATGATAGAGTATACTTATATGTAAAACCTAAGAATTTGGTTTTTTGTCATCTGACCGCGGGCGGAGCCGCGGGCAATGTTAGTAGATAATATATCAGTGCTAAGCTGACGAAAATACTTCTAGGCATCTAAAAGTAGAACGACGCGACGCTCAGTTTCTAAATCCATGACCCTATATAATAAAACCATTTAAGTATTTTAATGCAAAGCGTTACGATATTTTTCATTGGTCAAGGATCGTTACGGAATAGTATTAGTTATTAAGTACTTTAATCGATTTCTTAGAACTCATTATATTAAAAAAACCTAAGATTTTTTAACTTAAGAAAATTTCGAATCTAATGATTAATTAAAAAGTAGAACAGATCGATTGATGCAAGGTATAAAAAGATAACGTATACCGTGCAGTGATGAAATATCTTTATTGCTTTTTACCCGACTGCGGCGAAGCCCAAAGTTATGGGTTTATGTGTTATGTGTTTCAAAGGGTTATGTGTTTTTTAATAGAAAACCTACTTAATGGCTGTTACGTCTCTATTCACGTATGAATCAAATAATGATAGGGGGATGAATATGGAAACTTAATGTAACATTTAAATAATTAATTTAGGTAAGAAGTTTCAGATTTTCATAGAGTTATTACGTGGACTAGAAAGAAGTTAAGTTTTTTTATTTTAACAATAATATATATAAAATCTATATACAGATTACACAAAATGTATTATATAATTGATATTTTTTTAAACAAAACAAATAATTAAATAGACTAAAGTTCTTGAAAATAATAATTCATTACCTAAGATTTTTTCTAAGTAAAAATTGTTGAAATATAACTTTATTCTATTTTTCATTTGCATTAAAATAATTAAAAGTAACTATTGTGCAAATAAACAGTCAGACAGACAAATATGATAACTATTAATTTGAATCCTGTATCTATTAAGTACTTGAATAACCTCTAGACAATTTTATTTATTTACAAGCGGCTCACCCTCGCTTCGCTCGGGTTGGTCGTTAGGTATGTTTTAAATAGATATAAATAGTTATAAGCCAGCGTTAGCCATATACATTTTATTTTTTTTTCGTTAATTTTTCATTTCTTCTCTTTATTAAAACCTTTCGTGGACCTTAAGGAACATACGAAAAAAAAATTTGCCAAATTGGTCCAGCCATTCTTGAGTTATGCGCTTACCAACATTCATTTTTATTTATATAGATAGAAGAAGATTTATTCAATTTGTCTCAGTTACAATATAATATTATAGATATATTAGGTACATACGTAGCTTCTAACTACTAACAGTCTGGGTACTAAAGTGAAGCAGAACAGCTGTTAGGGCCGTCACCTGACACTACACGTGTCTTGAAATAAAACGAATTAAACTTTAGACATTGTAGAGCGATAATAATTATAGAAGCGAAACCGCCGTGCATAATTTCTAAGTGATAATGTTACGAAAACATACCATTACACCCATTTTATAAAAATCTAAAGAATCTATAATAATATCTCAAGAAATAGCAAGCACTCATTGAGTAATCACGAAATTTCAGAAAGTACCAAACTTGTTTGGCAGACATTCCTCAAAGAATTAGATATACAGATAGTAGTAGTTTTTTTTTTAATTCAAACCTTAAAAGGGTAAGAAGTGAGATTCGAAGTTAATTATTTTTAGTTTCATTTCGTTCATTACAGGTCTGCTATTTTTAAAAGTTACAATGACCAAAATTGGATAAAAAATCCTCGATTAATAATGTCAACTACGTCTTCTGGGAATGAAAAATAAGGGATAATGTGAAACTTAGGAGCCACGGGGAAATGCTAGTAGGTGTTATAATATTAATACGAGAATTCCATGTCCCATAATGTTCCATAAATATTATAAATGCGAAAGTTTCGATGGATGTTTGTTACTGTATCACGCTAGAACAGCTGAACGTTTCTAGATAAAAGTTGGTACAGAGATAGGTTATATTCCGGAATAGTATATAGATTACTTTTTAACCCGATAAAATTTATGATTCCCGTGGGATGTCCATACTAACAGTTAAAACGTACCCAGAAACGAACTCGAGCGAAGCGAGGGTGAGTAGCTAATATATTATAAAGATACTGTGAGGTAAAACGTAAGTGACAATTAAAACCTATTGTATACTAACTTAAGTTTAAAATAAAGTCATTGAGTTATTACAATAGCATTTTTTATTCAGGTTTTTATACGGATCCGTTGAAATTTAAGGTTTTTTGGAACATTCAGAATTCTAACCCGAAGAACCTCAGTCGATTTTAAGCTACATAGCATAAGTCTTTCCAGTTACACAGATGGTTCACGTTTGTACCACGGCAGACCTGTGGTATACATACGTTATATTATGGTTCCACATACATATTTCACACCAACATTTTTTTTTTAAATTACAACGGCTGATGAAATACTAAAGTATTTTATCATTCCAGCCTTTGGTTTTTTTTAACTTATACCACCTTGAGATAATCATTAAAAAATATGTAAAATTAACCTTGTCTATTGTGTCTATCTGATTTCTATACAAAATTAAACTAACTGGACCTCCTCGAGACGGTCGAGGTAAAAATATTCGTATAGTTCATATGTTACAGTGATTCATTTATTTGCTGTAGTATAATATAATAATCTTCAGCTTAAACAAATAGATAAAGTAAAATATTAATGAACTGAAAAGACAAATTTATACTTAGGTATTTATGTTCGAGTATCATAAATGTAAAAAATATTCGTTGTGTCACATTTGAACAAAATAAACAAAAATCGAGAAAATTTATACGAGTATATGGTTCAAATTTATTGACATGGTACTCTAAAGTAATGGACGTAAAGGTGTATTCGGCAAACTATTGCAGCCTGTGCTAAAGCGCAGGTCGTGGTGTCGATTCCCATGTGAGGCAAATGTTTCATAATTGTATATGTTGTGTAAATATTATACGTCTACTCAATATTTAGCTTATAATCAAAAAAACGTGCAAATAGAACTCTTATTAAGTTATGATTGGATTATAATTATTTATAGATAAGAATTTATTTCCTTTAATCACTTTATATGTTTCAAAAGTGGTATGTGCAAAATAATATATATGAAAATATTATTTAAAATGACAATCGTTTTACTAAAAATATTTATTGAAATTTGCAGGTATTTATTATTATAATACAATGCAATGTTGTATTGTCAAAAGATGAAGGTAGGCAAAAAATGATGACAAAGTTCAATTAGTTATAACTTATTCAAGATTTCCTTATAGATAGTATTTGATTACATCACGCGCCTCACAAACCAGTAAAATCACATAATTCACGGTCATAGTTTTTACTAATCGAAAAATCGCGAAAACCACGAGGGCAAGCTATTTTTCTTGGGTTATGACCGCTTTCTACACGAGCGCTCGCAGTTCCTCCACTGCGTTTATCCCGCACGAACGTTGCTTAGCAAACATTGCTACAAAATGTTTACACACCTCACGATATAAAGTCGTGCCGCGTCCGTCCACTGTCAATTTGCCAACAGTGAAAGGCTTTATAAGTATATAATAAAAAACAGTGAATAGTTCAGAACTGAGTGCTCAAGATGCGAAGAATCTTGTTGTTGACTCTCGCGGCGATCGCGCTCGCTGAAATAGTTGAGCCGGTTTTTGAAGAGGAAGATTTAGCTCAAGTTGAGTTTAGCGAAGATCATGAAAGACAACAACGAGAAGCGTACGTTCAGGGGCCATATGAAGAGCATGTTAGGGTTAAGAGATGTAAAGATGAACCAAGGGTTAAACGTGATGCTGTAAGGAATCCCCGTCATATCAAACAATATGAAGTTCACGAACATCATGATGAAGGATCTTTACCTTCCCCTCCGTATGAAGAGATGTTAGCTGCGAGCGCTGAGCATTATCATAAAGTATACGCACCGGATCAACCGCGTAGTTTAAATGAAGTGAAGCCTGGACCACTAACTTTTGGTGTACCTGCCGTGGATCGAGCGGCACAGCTTTTACTTCCTGAGTCTGTAGCTAGTTATGGTCATGCTCATCCTCATGCCAATTTTGCTCCAGCACCTTCGAACTCCGCAGCACCTGTGGGCTTTGTACCATTATCAGCGGCCCCGTTGACAGTGTCTGATGATTTAACACCTGCAGCTGGTTCTCATCAGGAGAAGCAGCATCCTCATCATCACGCTAACTCACGTGGAGGGGGACGTCAACAACACGGCAAACATTACGCTGAACATAGTGGAAAGGTAACATACGGTTAAATATAGTATGTATTTTTTTTAATTTAAAAATTCTATAAGTTGAGTTACCATCACACTGATAAAGCACAATAACCATCTTTATAAGTAGTAAAATCGTTTGCCTAACGAAGAATAAATTCTATTCTATTATAATGCTTTTTAAATAAATTCTATTCTATTTTAATTCCTATAATTATTATAAACCCTTTATAATAGATACATTTTTATCGTATGTTTATTTTATGATAAACTTACGCCTTTCTCCAGGTAAATTTCTAAGAACTTAATTAAATTTCTAAGAAATCTATTGTCAACTGTAACGCCGGCGTGTCTGCGGTCGTTGAGGGATTAAATATTTTTTTTGCTGTGGCAGTGACAAACATACACACATTTCGCATTTATAATACTCGTAGTAGACCGATTCGATAATATTTATTATAACATATTATGTTATAACGGAAATCAAACTACCCTTTGTCAAGGGTCTAGTAACGTAACTTTTTCGCCTATTGTGGTTAGCAGTAGAATTTTCTGAAAACTTAAAATATTTTGATATAATTATGCTTTAAAATATACATACTTTAACAAAAAATGTAATTAAATGAGCTCCAAACACATTAATATTATACATTATTTAGATGATTATAAAAAGTTATTTTCAATTTATATTTTCTTATATACTAATGTCACTATAGTCTTCTTCCTCATATGTAAATGCTTAACTTTTTGTACACGTTTTTACAGCTTTTTTTGACTTTGACGTTTCGTATTTAACATATTTAAGTGAGGTCAAATATGTCATAATATTTACTAGTCAAGTACTCTATGTACAAACCTCTCACTATATCTGTTCAAAATTTTAGAAGTTTAATTACTTACTAATATTATAAATGTGAAAGTTTTGATAGATATTTGGATGTTTGTTAATCAATCACGCCAGAACGGGCAACGGCTGAACGGATCTGGATGAATTTGGCACAAAGATTTTAGTCTGAAATAGCACGTTTTATCACGGAAAAATTTATATTATTATTATAATACATTAGTATTATATGCCGAATAATATGCACAAACATAATTTCACATTATATCTATACTTATTATAAAAATAAGTCCCCCGGCCGCGTCTTTCTGTCCTCCTGTCTGTCCTCCTGTCTGTCTGTACGCGATAAACTCGAAAACTACTGAACGGATTTTTATACGGTTTTCAACAATAGAAAGAGTAATTCTTGAGGAAGGTTTAGGTATATAATTTATTATGCTTTTATGTAAATTAGCTGAAATACGGCGACAAATGTTGAAGAGGTCGCAAAAAATCTCGCCAAATGGGAACTTTCCACGCGAACGCCGCGTAAACTAGCAAAGATACAGTTAAGTAATGTACTAGAGAATTCAAAATCTATAAAAATGCTACAAAAAAGTCCGCGATAGCATATCTCTATCTCTTACGGTTGACTTACAATAACCACTTTTATGTTAACATTTTTAATTAAAAACATTACGTTATTTTCAAAGTTATTTTCTTTAGTTCGGTATTAATCCTTATCCAAATGAATATTTTAGTTAGCTTAGTCATTTAATGCAGATTAAAATTGCTCTTTACACTAAATCAATCAGATGAATAGTTTTTGAGATATCGTTGTTAGAAGTAATTAGTAGCGAAACATTTTTAATGCTTGGCGAGCATTGAGATGCCTACGGCGAGTCCATCCCCTCTGCCCCGCATCGCTCGACCGCCTGCTCAAGCTATATAAACCGGGCGATGTAGCGCGCGATCCTAGGATACTTTTTACCGCGGGAAAATATCTTATTTCTGAGGAAAAATACAAAAACTGCAATGTAAGAGTATACTAATATGTAACACCTAAGAATTTAGTTTTTGGTCATCTGAACGCGGGCGGAGCCGCGGGCAATGCTAGTATATATATATAATAAAATACAATTTCATAATATATATATATATATATATATAATATATATATATATATATATATATATATATATATATATATATATATATATATTATGAAATTGTATTTTAGCTTCCCTAATATATGTATTTCCTGAGGCATAAGAACATTTAATAATAACTTTACGTTTAAACATAACCTTACATTTTACACTTATGTTTCTCTTGAGGTATATAACATGGTAATGTTATATATTACCTACATGTGGCATAGTAGTTTAAAATAATTTTTTCGTTAACTTCCCAATGTAACTACAGACATGAACGTTATGATTCAACACGTATCTTCTTCTAAGATGGAAAGTGTAAAAAAATTAAAAAGTGTTGTGAAAGCATAATAAGTGGAGTATGCATTTATGATTCACAGCACTTCAGTCACTTTTCCAACATGTAATTGTGTGCTATAAAACCTAAAAATATTAACTTATTTGAATTTTTTTCCACCTTATCGCTCATTTTCTCCTTTTATACGTAAATTTGTTATTCCTGACTGATTCATCAACGATTAGAAATACTTGGATATGAAATGCTAAAATTATGGTAGCTTATCCTTAGAATACCTAAGACACAGATCATAATATAATACTATACTAGTACCTAAGGCATGTTGTCTTCATATGTATTATAATATACATAGTTTAATATTTAAGCTCATTATTTATTGTAATTAGCAAAACCTATACTTATTTGCAATTATACTGTAGCCTCGATGAAGTTTTATAAAAAAAACGAGTACTCCTATTTAAATACAAAGTATATTTTAACATTTTCAGCTCTATCGTTTTCAGAATTGTGTGTTCAAATAATAACACGTAATTAGTGAACCTTATATAATTACTAGCGACAAACAATAACAAATCTATCCTACGGGAACCGTACATTTTTCCGGTATAAAAAGTAGCCTATTTGTTATTCTTATGTATGAAATATATTATTGTAAAATTTCATTAAAATCCAATCAGTAGTTTTTGTGTAGGTACTAAGCCATATAAGTTACTATGGTTTTCTTTCTATCCCACGGGAACTCTTTAATTTTCTGCGATGAAATGTTTTTTCTATGTACAGACACTCGATCTCTACAGTTTTATTATAAATATAGATTAATATTTTTGGTTTAAAATAAAACCATTAATTAACCACTTTGTCTAATTAAAATTTTATAACAACGCATATCGTAATAGCACTAAATTATAATGTACCTAAACACAGCTCTTTGAATTTAAATGCTTATTTATGAGTACATTCAAATAACGTTTTTTGATTGTAGCTGTTAATTATTTCGTGTTTTGACCGTGACTTAATCCTATTTACATAGGATTTTAATGATAAACTATAAGTTTAGAAAATAATTAATATGAATCCACATACTTACATACATATATGTTGTACAATAGTTGTGTGTATAGTGTGTATGTCTTCGACTGCATAATACTATGTTCCTTCATCAACTTGTTCTCTTCTTTTTAGTTCACTTTTTAAGCAGTTGGCTTTTTTTATTTTTGTATTTGTTTTTTTTCGGTAAGATTTAAATGTCTACCGAGCAACAATATTTATTTGTCAATCGATTAGTGACGATACAAGCTTTACGTATTGTTACCTTTAAACATAAAAAATATATTGTACCTTGGATGCATTTTTGCCAAAAAAGTTAAACTTGTCTAAAAGATTTTCTTAGTATTTTCGTAGTCGCTGTTTCTGTCTGTTTGAGCTTTTATTTAACGTAGATAGGTAATAGTTGATAATTATATAGTCATACAGCATACTTATACCTAAAGTGAAAAATTAGTGAGTGAGAGCTGTCTGCTTTGACGTCTCTTCTGGTATTATAACATATTTTAAGTTAAAACAAGAATAAATAATATATAATTAGGGACCCTATAGAGGTTCTCGGACTAATATTAAGTGAAGTACCTATTCTGCATCTATTTTCTATATTGCAAAATATAGATTTCCATTAGAAAATAATTTTGCAAATCAGTTTAGTAGTTCCAAATATTATATACGCCTCTCTATAAATAAACAAAATTTGAAATTTTATAAAATTTTCATGTGACAATTCATACAATAATACATAATTTCAGACATCCAAAGGCTCGAACTCCGATCAATACATAGACAAGGGCGCCAAAGGCTTCAAGACTGATGAGCGTCACCGCAAAGAGTTTGAGGAAGCAGCAGGTCAGAAGAAAAAACACCGGGATGAAGCTGACCATAAGGGATCTCATGAGGAAGAAGCCTTCGGATCCCGCGGAGCTCACTTCGGTGAAAAGAAAGGACACAAGAAAGGACATAAGACTAAAGGTTGGTCATAATTTTCGTTGGTTTTTCTTTACCAGCTTCACTTCTAACCTTGCAATCAAATCTTAGAGGTCGATTTTAAGTAACCTACTCCTAACGATCGTATCGACTTAAAACTTTGGAGATACGTATTACCTACATGAATCTGGATGATATTACTATAATTATTAGATTCGATAACATATTATCTCTGATCATGGTGGAGCCAGATGGATGTTTAGTAGCCTAAAAGTACTCAATTAAACTCTCCCTCTTAAGTTTTTGTTTTTCAAGTGTTCCTATATATGATCATTAGACCTGTATTGAAGAGTTTGTTAATATTTAATTAACAACACTTTAATACTGTACTGTAACTGTAAAATATTATAAAAAAAACTGGTAATTACCACATTGATAGATCAACCGTTTTGAAAGAAAAACAATTGCTTATATATTTTAAATATTATAATTCAATTATTATATATATTATAATTATTATTGATTTTAAAGCAATATTTATGCATATTTTCAAGCTACGTATTACTTTTAACGATTGAGCAAAGTTACATTGAATATTTTATGTAACAAAGGTATATAAGATTGGAAATACTTTATAATAGAGAGCATAACTAAAATAATTTATTCAAATTACGATAAGGTCAAATGGTTTATAGAATAAATGAGTTTATGTAACGAGACTAATGAGGCTCGCTTTCACTCACCGCAAGGTGTAACTTTGTGTTGACTTCAACAATGGTTGGCCACGACGTTGGCTCAGACGAAAAAAATATAAACAATTGTAGACGGCAGTTGAGTTGGTGAGCAGTTGCATCATTCTTTATAAGTTTTAATTTAGTAATTCTAATGTACTATTTTGTACACTATAATATTGTTACGTAAAATCTAACATGTTCGAAAACTAATGAAATAATTTCAATAAATAATTTAATGAACTACTCGATCAACATTTATCAAGTGGTATGAAAGATGAAAATTGATGATTTTTACCGATTATGATTTTATATCACTTTTTTTAATTAAATGTAAAAAACATTATCGATTTAGTAGGTATGTATGTATTCAGCCCTTTTTAACGTCCCACTGCTGGGCACACGCCTCCCTACAATACGAGGGGGACTTCACATGTCTTTCAAAAACTCGCTAGGTTCTCTCAGGCATGCAGGTTTCCTCGCGATGTTTTCTTCATCGTAAGGCAAGTGGTAATCATGTTAGAAATCACATGAAAATGTCAAAGGTGCGAGACCCGGGATTTGAACCCGCTTCACTCGGTTTCCCAAGCGAGTGCGTTTCCACTGAGCTACCACTGTCTATTGTATACCTTACATTGTATACCTTAGTAGGTATACAATGTTAAAATTAAACTTATACGTTAATGAAAATAATGTTTTTTTTCATTCAATATTGTCTATGTCTCCGCTGTATATAGAAAATATAAAAAAGCTTCCTACTATGTATGTATAGTACTAGCGTATGTGTGAAGTCGTACGTGAGGTGTGACGGACACACCGCCCCAATATGTAGTAGTGCACCTATCGCAAGTGGATGTATGAATCTTTTTCTCTGTAGGGAAGGATACTTATGTGGTATAGACTTTTTCATTTATGGCTTTTTAGTTAATATTTCCTATATCTAATTACAGGCTTCCACAACAAATACCACAAGGACGAATTCCACAAGGAACATAAGTTCTACGACGACTATCACAAAGGCGGAGAACATCACAGATACGGCAAGTTCAACGCCAAACACGCTAGTAACGAGAGCGGCAAGAAGAAGGTGCATCACGTCAATGCCGGTCATGACTACACGGAACATGGCAAAAAGGGATATAGGTAGGATAATTTTACTAAATGAGAGAAATTTAACTTATGTCATGAGTTATTTTCTTTTGGAAACGCACATTTGCATCTATAAAAATATATAATGCAAATACTACAAACAATATTCTATATAATCGCTGTTAATCAGAGGTGACCTAGAAGCCACTAAAAGTCGCCCCCTTGATAAATCAATTTTAAAAACATTATTTCAATTACAAACTTTGCAACCTTTTGCATTCATTTAGAAATTAAATCTCAAAGGTAGAATTTTTTACAGCTATAGTTACCTAAATTTTAGCCTTTCAGTCTGTCTAGCAAGTTAGTCTCAGCACCGATGAATTAGTCGTAACAAGCTTTATTATAGTATATCTCTAAAATTTAACATGCTATTTTTAAATATACTGTATTATAATAAAATAGCAATAAATAAGGTTCCAATGGTAAACTATAAATAAAAGATAATTTTTACGTTACAGTAACAAAGGTCATCTAGATGCGGACCACAAGGGATATAACGGCAAGAGCGGTCGAGAAGAACATCATGAGAAGCACAGTGATGGTGGGAAGAAAGGTGGCAAGGAAGCTGGCTCCCACTGGGCATATGCTAAGAAAAACTAACCTCAAAAATACCATCTTTCAATAATTTTAAGGCTGTTAAATTACTTTCACATAACTGAGCAGTGAGATTTCAACGTACAATGTTTATTGCAGACCCGATATTTTCATTTTTTTTCGAAATTTTCAGACCAATATAGTTGAGACCTTCCTTATAATATCATGTTTTCATTTTTTTATTTATAAAACGACTTAAGCTTTTTATTTTACAAATTATAAAAATGTTGAATTGCACTGCCAATTTGCCAGTCTGAAAGTAATTATAATAAATAATAATTATAAATGCCTAAAAAATTAACATATTTTATAAGATGGCTTCTTATTAAGGTTTTTTATAGTTTTAATATTGGTTGGTTCCTTACATTTTGTTAAGGATTGATTTTTCAGTCATATATACCACAAATTTAAATTTAAAAATTTGCTTGATGGAATGACTATTGAGAAATCGGTCCAACTTTATTAGTGATAGTGTGATAGGATAAGACAAATTTTGATAACATGAGCTCTAAAAGTATTCAACTTCGAAAAAACCCAGTTCTTTATATGTTGCAACATATAATTAGTCAAAAAAAAATTTGCAGAAAACTTGAAGCTCGTAGTTATCTCTATCTTGCCATTTATTTAATTTGTATCGTCATATAAATACTTAATAAAGGTTTTTTACTTAATATTTGTTTTTTTTTAATAGACAAAATTTTGTGCTATTATAAAAAAAAAGTAAGTACAAATCGCTATTGCTTTTATTTTTATTGTCTTACTTCTTTCCAGTAATAAAAAGCGCGGATTGCGTTATATTAGGCATTTGGAAACTAATTTCACAGTGAGTTTTGAATTAAATAAAATTTTGCGTAAAAAGATTACAAGTGGTTCTTTAGCACGGCGACTGGAACGAATCGGACGTTGCTGTAATTGGCTTAAGGTCGCATTAACGCGTTTTTCTTTTGAATATCCGTTAAATACCAGACTGCCAAGGAAATTTTGTTTTACGCGCGTATCTTGTATGTATGTTTGTTTGAAAATTTATTACCTCGTATCTTTCAAACGGCTGGATAAATTGCGACGGTCAAAGTAGCGTTAGATTTGTCTCAAAACTCCGAGCGTCCTTAGATAGATGTTTAAAAAAATCAAAATGGCGGATTCTTGGCGCCAATTTGTGTATCTGTGTGTTGAGTTTCACTATCTCAACATCAGTTTAATAAAATCTTTTTAAACCCTTTGACATCATTCAGGTAAGCCTTGAATAATATTTTAATATAATATATTTAGAAATAAAAAATCACATGTACAGAGGTAGCACTGATTATTTCTTACCATAAATATTTATATATCACCCTTTACATTAAATTGTTATTTAAAAAACAAATAATTTATAATAAATAATATTATTAAAGTATTTCTAAATATTACATGAAGGATGGCTTGCAAGTCACTCGGCCTCCCAACGCGGGGTCGAAATGTTTCACGTAGACATTGACCGCGTGGTGCGGTCTTCGCGGGAAGAACACTCTTTGACCAGCGTCGTCGATAAAATCCGAATAATTCATCGACCATTCGCGCTTCATACCACAATTTTCGCAAATTTTTGACCTTAAATGTAAAAAAAACAAAATATGCAATATTTTATATGTAAAAAGGTCTTAGATTTATATTAAATATATACTAAATATTTAAGACGTCATAAGATATGGGCGAACTGAAAAATGGGGTGTTATATTACAGTCTCTAAAGCAAAAATTAAGTCGTGTTTAAAAAATACTCATATATTTTAGTAAGTCCTAGTAATCTCTAAGTACCCACATGTATTGACTGACGGCAATAACTTGCACAAGAGGATGTCGGAGTTCTTCTGCGTGATCGAGGGCAGTCCGCAACAAGAGGGTGCCTACACCTTGTCCAGCCACATCCGACGACGTAGCGAGGACCTCGACCTTTAAAAAACATAATTAACTTAAATTTTGTTTACTTTTTAACTTCATTGCAAGCGAGTTTTACATGACTTGGAAAGTATTTCTTTTACAGAAATTTTGTGATTTAAAGTATTACTAAAGAGCTTTCTTATTAGGATCATACTTATAAAGATATATGATACCTTTTTTACCGAGACAGCAATTTTCGTCTTTCTATTTCCTACCAAATGAATTACAAAGAAATAAATATGTGATATCGCTGGCAGAAGCTTGTGAGCTTAAATATTAGTAGGTCTATTTATAAATGATAAACTTACATCGTATAAATATTTGACATTATATTTATTAAATAAATTGGGGTTTTTCAAACAGTGCGCGATAAAGTACATTCTGTTCCGTTCAGGGCTGGACGGTGTGTAATGCGCCCATTCTTCTAATTCCTCTGCCATCCAAGAAAATGTTTTATTCGCGACGCATACTCCCACTAGTTTCCGTTTTTTGGTACGTTTCACCAATTCTAGCGCTAAAAGACGATCACCTAAAATAAAAATGTTGGTTATTTATGATTAATTTTCCATAACGTCTGGTAGCTTTTGCATCCACGCCACAACCTTATTTACATACATATGTAGGTATATATGTCTATATTAACAATATTTTTTTTAATAATAATAAGTATACATTGGCTTATTTGGTACTATATTATGAGTATGATACAGTACTTAAATGTAAGTATATAGTATAACTAGCATTGCCCGCAGCTCCGCCCGCGTTCAGGTGACCAAAAACCAAATTCTTAGGTTTTACATATTAGTATACTCTTACATTGCAGTTTTTGTATTTTTTCTCAAAAATGAGACATTTTCCCGCGGTAAAAAGTATCCTATATGTTGACCCGAATAACCAGTTATCACCATACCAAATTTCATCAAAATCCCTCCAGTAGTTTTTCTGTGATGCGGTAACTGACAGACAGACAAAAATTCTAAAAACTATAGATTTGGCCTCTGTATCGGTAATAATGTTTATTTCAATAAGATTTTTCAAAAAATATTTAATTCGGCTTAGTTACAATTTTATTATCTTTATATATATAATTCTTCTGTGAGTGTGTATGTCACTGAACTTCTCTCAAACGACTGGACCGATTTTGATGAAATTTTTTGTGTGTGTTCAAGGGGATCTGGGAATGGTTTAGATTCACAATTTGAATAATAATTTTCATCAAAAAAATTATTAAAAAAGTTTGAAATTTTCAAATTAAAGACGTGTAGACAGGACAACGTCTGTCGGGTCCGCTAGTATATGTATAGAAGAGGAAATATATCAGACCTCATTTAGTATTATTTTCGGTTATAATATATCAATGTATTTATGTTTCACGGACGTTCATACTTATAAATATATTTTATTCGGTCAATGCGTACCAGAATGAGAATATTTCTCCGTAAGAACTTCAAGGTATGGGCAGTTGAGACACATCCAGAGTCCAACAACGCTGGGCTCCCTTGGCCAGTAGTGGTTATAAAGAAAAGACTTGATAAGCTTCGCGTGACACTGGTTCCCACGCTCCACTACCACCTCGTTGATATCGAAACACTAAAAACGAAGACAATTAGTGTATTTCTTATATGGGCATAGTAATAAAAGAAGTAAAACAAAACATAATTCATCGATCATTGATCAATGGCTTTTGTAATAGACATAGATCTGTATCCAATACATTGTTAGCCCTGTATATACAGAGGAAATTTTTGCTTTAGCTACACTGCATTAAGTTTTGTTTTGATGGAATTTCCCCATAAATATGCAACCTTCTAACGGACCAGCAACACATGGTATATTTTATAATGTTTAAAGCCTTTATAAAGTAAGAATAAACCAATAACTAACCGGTTTTTTTTCAATTGGAGTTACGCATTCGTCACATGTTGACCGTCTTCTAAAACGTTTTATGGGGGAGTTTATAATTACGAGAGGTGATTTTTGCGCCAAAAAACTGCTGTACTTCAGAACTTGAAACCTATTCATTATGGTTAATTTATTCTTCTAATAATACTTTAGAATTTAATTTAAACGTAAAAATAATAATTTAATTGCTTTATTTTGACCTCATTTTTTGTTGTTATTGAAATAATTTTTTGTTGTTAATTTTTTGCTGATCATTGTTTTATTATTATTTTCATCTTACTGACAATGTCAATTTAATCAATATTCTTTTTATTTATTTATAAATGCATTTAGCAAATTACATTAGAAACTTCCCAATATATAATGTTAAAATTTAATTTAAAATTAAAACAAAACATGAATTTATGCTATGTTATTTAAGTAAACATCTACCATATCTACTTAGAATTATTTGTATAATTAATGTTAACTATATTTTATTGAGTAATTTTAATTATATCTTTGATATATAGTATCATTCATTTCACGTGTTTAAGCTTAAACTTTATGGTCACTAGAATTTGTATTCTTGTGACCATTTGCTTATTGAATGATTAAAAATAGTTTGAAAACTTCAATCAAGTTTTTAAAGTTCCATTTTTAAAAAAACGAAGGACCCAAAAATAAATTGTCAAATCAGCTGTCACCATGGAGCGACAATATTTATATTAAGTTATATTTCTATTTTAAATACACAAAAATAACCAAAAATGTTATACCGGAAGCACAAATCATTTCCATTTCTTCTCCTTCTATAATGTCGTCAGTAATAAAGTTTCTCAAATCAGTGTCTACGAAAAGCATCACTAAATCCTCAGCAACCTCTCTAAAGTGGAGTGACATACGAAGGAACTATGGAGACAAACCCAAGGCAGGCTCATCGTCAAAACAGGTTATGGTTAGTTCATTATGTAATGACATTTGCACAATATAAATTTAAAAAAAACTTAATATGTATCCATAATAGTAGCCACTACCACAATATTATAATGCAGAAAGAACTCTGCGTAGCTGACAAAATCTGCCATATTACGCTATACGAGTTTCTTTCGCCAGTTCTTCTCAGGTCTGAGGCTTCTTCTTTCCGAACTGGTAGTAGACTCATGACGTTAAGTGAAAAATTGTAATAATTTAATGCAGAACAAAATATTTTGAATTTGAGTTGATTAATTTCACTGGACTTCCTTTCAAGCGTAGAGATATTACTAAAATATTTAATTTAGCAAAAACTTCCCTTTAAAATAATAAAAACAATTTAAAATACTTATAAAATACTTAGCTAAATCGAGTATTAAGTAGGTTAAGACTTAGTGTTTATTTGTTCAAACCACCAATATCTACTCGTACTTTTCAGTATCGTCTTTTTCCTTTATTTTAAAAACGAAGTTTTATGTAAGCGATTTACATAGGTACTTACATATATAGAACATATATAGATAAAATAAGTTTATAGGCTTTTTAAAAGTAAAATGTGTTAATTTACAGTTAAAGTAGAATTGACATTTAAAACAATATTTCAATATTAAAACCTGTTTCGGTAAGTTGGTCGTTTGGATAAATTAGTACTGAGACGACGTTTAATCTAAATTATTACTAAATGTATTCTGTAATCACAGATTTATTAATTTAAGAATATTAATAATTTTTAATTTAATAATATTTAATTATAATTCCCGCTGATATTAGGTACAAGGAACAGAAGACATTCGCGTGCGCGTGCGCCGAGCTCGGCCTGCTGATATACCTCGCGTGCTTCGATTTGTAAAAGACCATTCCCGACTCGCCTGGCCCGGACTGGTCGGTAAAATCCCAGAAACGAATAGTCACATCGCGATTTCTGATTATGTCGCGAGAACATTGGCTCAAGGTGACATTGATTTCTATTATTTATTGTGGTCGGACTAATATTATAAATGTCAAAGTTTGTACTTTTGTATCTGTATGTTCGTTACTCCTTGAAGCTAATACGGCTAAACAGATTTGGATGAAATATAGTACATAGATTATGACTTGGAGTAATACATAAGCTACTGTTAGCCACCTAGGTTATCTCCAATTTCGCTAAATATACGTTGATGCTCGTTAAAAGTTTCCAAATATTTTCCTGAAAACACCATAACTTAATACTTCCAAGGTTTCATAAAATATGAAAAAATGAATATTTTAGGTCATTCGATGCTAGCAGAGCAACAAGAAGCAAAGCGAGGCTGGTCGCAAATCCGAGGCCTTGCTCTCAGTACCTCCGTATGTCCGTGGGATGCCACCATGTTGGAGAAATGGGCTCGGTGTGTGAGATGTACTCGATCAAGGAAGCTGATGCTGTTCACTGCTCACTGCTTGAGAGCGCCGGGCTTACATGATAAATACAGAGTGCATAACATAATGCAGGTCTCATTCATTAAATTTTTCGTAATAAAGTGATAATTGTGGATTAGCTTTGATAGTTTATGCTTATATTCATTATTCAGCCCTTTTTAACGTCCCACTGCTAGGCACTGGCCCTTTAATACGAGGGGGATCAGGCCCTATAGTCCACCACGCTGGAGTAGCCCGGGTTGGCGGACATCACTGTCTTGTCTTTTGAAACCGTGCTAGATTCTTTCAAACTGGCACAACTGACTTGAATGTCTTTTGAAAACGTGCTAGATTCTTTCAAACTGGCAGGTTTCTTTACGATGTTTTTCTTAACCGTAAAAAAAGTGGTAATCAAATTGGTAAATGATTCGCACATGAAAATATCAGAGGTGCGACACCCGGAATTTGAACCTGATTCACTCGGATTCCCAAGCCAGCGCTTCTCCACTATTTTTTTCATTTTTATTGAAAAATATCCAATTCAACATTATTATCGAAAATCATATTTAACAGTTAATAGTAAAACTACTTTTCTTTTAAGTACAACGCAATGATACCTAGGTATTTTTTTTATTTTCAGGTAGTATTGATGGTGCCACCTAACGCTCCTAAGTCTTCAGAAATCATCCAAATGTTGGCGAAGAACTCAATACAGCGCGGTAGAGACTTAGGCTTTCAAGTGCTACGTTTCGACGTAACTGACGACCCTGTGTTAGTAAATATATTATGTATGCTCTCTTTATATTGTTTTGTTTTTTCTGGGGAACTATCTATCAGCTTAACCAAGAAAAGTAGAGAGAGAAACTTTATTAGTAGCTCATTTAACATAGTGTACATAAATACATACTTTGAGACAGTGAACATCTATCGCGCTAGTCGCGGTGGATAAAATTATTTATTAAGGTTCCTCAGACATCTTAGATGAAAACTTAAGGGGTTATGATGTCTGGTACTTTAAATATTTATTTTAAAGTTTTGTATAGATATTTATTTTCGTCATCTAGGAGTCTAGGAAATATGCAATAGTCAAGAGCTGTGCTGACAACACTGACAATTTTTTACTTAAACACCATAATTTCATTTAGCTTCATGAATTCAGCTGTAATATCTCTAAAAACAGTACTGCTAATTGTACGATTATCGGATGGTAAAAAATATTGTTCCTTTGTTTTTTGTCTGTTCGTGCACTAATAGGACCCGGGCCAACATAAACGGGCACTTTTTGAAGTGCAAGTTTAAAAAAAAGAAAAATCCTGATTTACCCGGCGAAACAAAAAAGGCTTTTATGTGGATTTCGTGTTTACATATACTTTCTTTTGCTTATTCAGTGAAGATTTATTAATTTTAAAGTTTTTTATGTCAAAAACACTATCTTAAAAAAATAAAAATAAAGGCGAGTTTGTTTTGGTTTCATTTGGTGCAATTTGACAAATAAAATTGAAGCACTGTAAATAGCAATATGTATACAAATATTTATCAGGTGATTATTGTCTATATATACGAATAAATTAATATAAATTAATCGTCCGATTGTCGTACAAATAGACACGTTGAAAAAAAACCATTAAACTTAAGTATCAATTATAAGCATAGTATCTGAAATTCTTTACAGAGCAAAAGTACTGGACAGTTTACAACTAAAGAAAGAATACGAATTTAACTACGAAGTATTACCAAATGCTATAAAGATATTTTCAGACGATACAAGCAATAACGCATCTGATGCAAAGGAAGGAAAAAATATTATAGTCTACACTGCATTCACTCACGCTGATAAATCTTAAGAAAAACCGGTGAAATTAATAAATTCAATACAATATAAAGATATTTTGGTGACAACTGCTAATAAATCATACATTAATATTATCTCTTTCTATTTCGTTGTATTACCTACAGCACACTATAACACCTCAAGAGTATTAAAAACTTAAAAGTTGCCTGATATTATTAGAAATCATGAGCAGAATGGATTTATTACCTAATTATTTAAAAGAAAAAAAAAATAAAATCATCTGACAACAAAAGCTTAAAAAGATGAAATATTCAAAGTATCAATAGTTGGGGTCTAAAACATTTTATTGCGGCAGTTTCGATATACAATAAGAATTGATTTGAAACAATTACAAACTATGATTACATTATTACAATACAAATTATTGCCATGGACAGTTACTATTCTATTAGAAACAATTAACTTCATGGATCACCGAATCTATCCACAGCTAGCCGCAGGTGTTCTGCGCCATTTGCAACATGTCCGTCAAAGTGCTTTCTCTATTCTTTATATTGACTTGCAAAATTATATCACGTTGTGTTTGTGTTATTCGTTATTGATCCGCAACATTTATTCATATTGAAATCGTGCCCACGCTGCTATTTTGCCAATACCCGTTTCGGAAAATTTACATAACATTTTAACAATTTTTGCCATCAGATCCAGAGGATTTAGACATTTTGGTTATGAACAGAAATATCTATTAGTAAATTGCCCCTAGGATTGTTTGTTTTGTAATAAAGAAGATAGCTTATTTTTTATTACGTCAATTATCACTGAATGAAGTAAAATCCGATGTTCATTAGCAATGTGCTAAGTTTGACATTTATTTCTAACTTTTAGGGTGAATTTCCAAAAACTCTTCTTAATATGTACACATTAAGAACATCTCTTAAGAAGAGATTTTTCTTAATTTTAAGTTCGACTAGGCTGTTCAATTAATTTCATTTGTTTACTTTAATTTCGGCATGTGGTTTTGAAATAATGATAGACAAACTGGAAATTCTCGACAAGCTAAAATTTACCTATTACCTAAATAACTATAGGATTGAGTCTTTTTATTAAAAAAAAAATATTAATTAAATTAGTCATTTCATTCTACCAGTAAATCTGTAGCATTAGGATTAAAAAAAATCATATACAGCTGCAATTCTTTCAAACAATGGTAAGCAGGCGCGCTGGGAAGGTCCAGACCGACTCCGAATTGTGAAAGAGTAGCGTTGCAATCAACAGTTATATAAAACACAAAGTTTGAAATATATTGTGGAGTTCGTAAACCGCTGTTGACGGAACAGTTTTTTAAATCGTAAGCTAAATAAGCGAAGACGTGACTTTTATGAAGTTTTTTACAATATATGGCACAAGTTAGCTTCTGTTTTCAATTTGACTATTAAACGAATCGTTAAGTCCAAAAATTTTATATATTTTTCAAAATAAATTTTGTTCATCATGATAAGCTTGAAACTACTTATGCTGGGATTTCTCCATATCGCCGTAGCTTTACCAGCTGCGACACTAGAAGACCTATTGATGGTGGATGACACTATGTCGGTGGGGACGTATGTACGGGAGGCCAGGGCTGCACCCGTGAGTACTAGAAACTAATCCCTCATTAAAAATATCAATTACATTTTTTGCATGTTCTTATAAGTGATCATTGTTATATTTATGTTTAAATAAATCAAATCAATAAATATTTCGCAGTTTAGTCATTTGCCAAATAGTTAATTAAAGAAATACTCGAAAATCCGGGGGAAATATTAGGATAATTATAGTCATAAATATCCTGTTCGAAAATCATCATATTATTAATATCTAAAAAAAATATTCTTCCATCTTACTTAAATCGAAAGAACGTTGTGATTGAATAATGGATCTAGGACATGTGCTATGTGATTGCTTACTATGAATATGTTCAATCATTCATTTTGTATAAACATAAATCTGAAGTTGTAGAAAATATTGATAAAATTCTGTTAAATCCAATTAAAATTTGCAGCCTGAAAATTTCCACAAATTCTATGAAACCGATGGAGACGGGGAAGTCGGTTATTCGCGAAAGAAGGAAGGAGGTGGCAAAAAAGGGTACCAACACTTCGATTCTTACCATAAGAAGGCAGGTGATAATTATGAGCTAGAAACCCAAGATTCATTTGGACATGATGAAGAAGATGATGCCGGGGCGCACAGCCACCCTAAAGAGAGAAGAGGTGAATTAAGAAAAAATCCTTTAAGACGTCCATTTAAATTTTTAAGAAGAGTTTTAAAATGGATATTTTAATTTTATCAAATTTTAATTATACTTCTATCATATTTTATAAAATGATTATATAGTTAATTTTTACTCGAAATACTGTAAACTGAAGTTAAATAAATGATTTTTGATGTTGACTTTTATTTCAAATAATAATTAGGTATATGTTCTTAACAGAAAAATACCGTCGGGCAAAACACAATGATGAAGATAAGGAAAATCAAGAAAGAGAAAAAGAACAAAGATCTGAAAAAGGCCATGAAGAATTAAGGTATGTATGTACGTGCAATTTCAAAGAGCGAACATTATAAATAACATGTTTAAATTATATATGTTTCTCTATACATATCGAAGACATCGTATTTATTTCTTTATTACCACCATTGACTGAAAATTTATTAGGTACCTATATAACTATTTATATTTCATTTCTGTTTTGCGTAGAGAGGGCACTAGTGATGGCAACGGGGGAATTGAAGCTTATGGCCACGATCCTGCAGACTATGTTCTTCCAGAAAAATATACCTATGGCTCCGGCGAAGAGTATAATTTTTGAATAATAATATAAGTGTTGTATAGGTGTTGTATAAATAAGTTCACTTCGTTTATGTTTTTTAGTGGAAACTTTATTGGCTTAAGATTTTTGTTTAGAAGTGTTTAACTAAATCTTATTAACTATACGCTGTATGTTTCCCAATGATAAATAAATAAAAAAATTAAAAACAATAAATAATATTTTATTAAGAATTGAGGACGCCAAAGATTATTATTTGTATTATTTTTAGAATACTTTTCCATAAAAAGTTTGTAATTTCCTACACTTGGCTACTAGTTTTACAGATGTTAGAGTATTTTCGCCATGCTTGTCATCTTTTGATATGTATTTATAGATCAATATATAAAAACTTATTATATTTTTCAATGAACTTTTTAATCTTATATTTTTGTTTTATGAAATTAAAATCATAATAAATAATATTCTGTTATTTCTTTTTTAATATATATTTTATCTAATATTGCTATAGCTAAACATTTTAAATGTTATTAAGCCAGACTAGTATAGTATTATTATATGATCTGTGCTAATACGAATCTCAAAGGTAAAGCTTAGATGTAATACACTTATAGTATCTGTGCTTACTTATTATTTGTATTTTGTTGTTTATTATACCTTTTTCCTATAAAATATTAAGTAATAAAATTTTATTTACGTACCAAATGATTTATGTACATGATGATATATCAAAACGTTTTACCAAATGACGTTTAGTGACAGCTGCTAACTACAATGTTAAATGTCATGACATTTGTTTTGCTTGCGCGACTGAACCCGGAGAAAGATTTGTAATCAACGAAAGTGAATTAGACAAAAAAATCAACATCCCGTTAGAAATTGTGATGTGAGGCTTAAAGAGACTAATCCACGATAAATATGGGTATCAGAATAATCGATATTATTGCCGCCATAATATTACATTTCATACATTGCGCTTATACGGGTAAGTACCTACAATTATTTAATTGAATCAATTCATTCAGGACGTGATATTCGAGAACTTTATTCTTTTTAACAGAGCATATCCTGTTCTGCAATGTGACCCAGCTGAATAGCTGTCCGGGGAAGAATCATATATGTAACGAAACTTCGCACCAGTGTGTATGTTTGGAAGGATATGATAGTGAGGGGGATGATTGTGTGCCTGTTACTTCAGATGCGTCGAGCCATGACGCTACAGCGGCTGTAGTATCAATATTTACTATAGCCCTGGTAGTATTTGGTCTAGTTCTAGTTATAAGAAAGTACAATCTAATTGAATATGCTCGCCAAAAAATCAACCTGCGAAGAAACAACGATATTATGTATGAAGATGTGATGATTGGTCAAGACGATCCACCACTGGTCCCATAACTGCCTCAATCACTGTAATTTATTTGCTTAGATAATTGTTATAATGTTTGAACATTTTATTGACCAAGTGTATACCTATTGTATTATTAGTTTATTTCAATATTTTCCTGTTTGGAAGATTCATTGGTTAATGGCTATTTATAGATAACATTATTTTCAAGTGAATCTTTTAAGGAGTGTTAAGTTTGTTGTTGAAAATGTACATATATAAAATAATTATAATGAAGTTATTTCAATAACACCTAAATAAATAAAAACTTTATTAGCATAAATTTCATTTGTTTACAATAAGCTCAGAATATGCTTATTACAAATTATATGTTGCTTACCTTGGTTTGTTACTGCCGACTGTACTAGACAGAGCCTGTATTACAAACAGCAGTTCCTTTCTCTAAGACACAAATGAATAAAATATTACTAAATTTAAATGTGATCAAAGCATTGCATGGAAAACATGAAGATATATACTTTTTTTTTTGCTTAAAATACAAGGATTTAATAGCCAATAGGTTATGTATGTATATATCTGTAAAGTTCAGTTCTTTACTTTAATGGCTTTAATGTGTGCCAGTTGAGCACAAATAATATATATCTGTGAAAAAAAAGTTTTGTTTTGCATCTGATTTGACTTTTATGATATTCAGTCTTTTGTCAAATAATAAAATTGAACCGAACATATTTTTTATTGATTTTGAAATTGTCTTTAAATAAATAACTTAGCAATAAGCTTGGTGAATGAAATGTTGATGATTTTATATATTCATATGATGTTAGATTATATGCATTTTACTTCTCGTTAAAAGTAACTATTTGTTCTAAATAGCGAATATGTTATTAAAGATAACATAATATTATAAGATTGTACAAAGTAAGATGTATATTATGCTAAAAGGTTATGAATCATATATTTTGAGCTTACTAGAGTGAAGCCAAAAAAGAATTGTTTAAACCTTTTAAAAATGAAGAATTTTCCTCCTTTGAAAGTCATTAAAGTGATGTTTTAAAATTGAATTATTAATTTATTTTAAACATCGATTTCTATTGAGGTATTTACCTACATGCATATAACCTAATACCAATATAAGTTATTTATATTTTTTACCAATGAGGTTGTTTTATTTTTAATATAAAAAAAAAATGTTAAAAATACCAATAATTTTAAAGAAATAAAATATTCAAGTATTTTACATTGAATTACTTATAATGTCTATAAAATATTTTGTGTGATTCAGTCGCCCTATTCTTAGCCATTATTCATTCTGTTATAGTTTTATTGTTGGTTCATGCTTGAGCTCAATGTCACCAAAGACTGAAAAGTTACAAATTATGTTTTGTTCTTTGATCATACTAAATCAATAATATAATTGTTAAAAAATACTAACATTAGTATTGTGAAGTTCAATAATTTTAAAACAAAATCATGAGAAAGAATTTCAATTATCTTCTGTTTATACAAAATTAATTAAAGTATGCTCAGTATTTGTTGTTGACAAACTTGTTGGTTTATGAGAAAATTTTGACCACTATACTAACAAAAACTAAAATGATTGATATTCTTTATGTAAATATTGGTGAAATTAGCATAAATTAAAATTATGTTTTGTTATTAAAAATACACCTATTATAATTTAATAATGTGATTGTAGAGCAGCTAATTTTTTATTTTGATTAAGGATAAAGGTACTATATAAAGGAAGGGTATCGATAAGGCCTCATTTTTGCATCAGAATAACTAAAAAAAATTATGTCATACAATTTGATCTTTTCTTTAGTAAAGTTTAAAGTAGACTATGCCTGATAAGATTATAATATTTATGACAGTAAAAAAGTGCAATAAATATTAAATACCACTTGTGAGACGCCAAACTTTTGTCTAAGTCTGACTTATATTCAAAATGAGACATTTTCAATAATTTTTTTTTTATAGAGCGCATGGTGAAAGGAGTGTAATTTTTACTTATACTATGTAGTCACTTAAGTGACATGTTCTTAAGAACATTAAAATAAAATATAAAAGAAAGTACTTCTCATGCGCTCTTTATAAAAAAAGTATACCTTCTTTTATTAGTTTTATATTGTCGACAGTCTAAATATACGATTCTGATAGATTTGTTACCTACATACATATAATATAATATTTTTAAAGTAGAATATTATAACTTAAACCAAGGCGATGTTGTATGATGAACATTGTAAAATAAATATTGCTTCGCACCAAATATAAAAATACACAGTACATAAATTACATACGCCATCTTGCAACAAATATTTGTATAGCTACTATAAAAATGTATTGCTTAAGAGACATAATAAATCACTGTCGAGACCTGCTCTCTTTAAAATAACTCTGTATCAACCCAAACCTTGAGGTTTGATAGTTGATACATTACGTTTAACAAGCAGTCAGTGCAAAAATGGCCTAATCACTTTCAAGAAAATGAAGCAGTTACAAAACCGGTAACATTTTTATAAAAATAAATTATGTAAGTATTTTTTTGTATTGACTTATATGGTAATATTAGCATTCTCATTATAATAAATATATGTATATATGCTGGTTTTATTTTTTTTCATTGCTTTTGTCTCAAAGTTAGACCACTTTTGCCATGATAGCCTCTAAATCAGGGTTTCCCAACCTTGCTTCTGTTGAGCCTCCCCAAATTATAAAAAAATATTTTCATGCCCCCCGTTGTTTTTTAATTATAATAGAACACTTTATTTTAACAATTCTTATTTATTTTTTAATTTATAACACAATAAACTTCTTTACGTTCTACGCCCCCCTGGTTGGGAACAGCTGCTCTATATCAATACTCATTTTTGTACTATAAATAAAGCTATCTTTTCTGATTTTTTCAAGTATTTATTTAGATTTTTTTGGCTCCCGACGTCATTATATAGGTTTTACAAACAGTACCTACCCCCAAAACTTTATGAAAAGATAGTTTCATTTAAAATTTCAAATATTTGAGTAAATCTAAAAAAATAGTATTAAATCATTTTGAAAGATATTAATATTTTTCAGTTTAACATTCATGTGGTTACTAAGAAAAACATAATGTGGCTAATTCTTTTCCTTATAGAAATGAAACTAAGTACATATGTATAGCAACTGTTATTATTTGATGTTTGTATGTTTGACGTGTGTTGCTGAAAATCATACTCTCATTTTTCTTTTAATAAAATTATATTTTTAGGTAATGGCATGATTTCATATGCCTAGGTATTTGTAGTATTATTTAATCGATTTTTTGTACAATCATTAATTCGTAAGCGTTATCGCTATTCGCAGGTGACATTGGAAAAAATATAAATAGACTCTTTGTTGATGCATAATGCCCACAAGTTCACAATTTTAAACAAAAACAAATTGAGGTAAAATCTTAAAAATATTTTCCTTTTTTATGTATAGAATTTTGTCAAGTCCGGTTCCATAATATTATTTCTGTGTCTGTTCATTAAATATTCATTCGTTAAGGCGAAGGACAAGATTACAGCATACTTTTTAAATAAGTAACATATAGTAATAATTTTTTAATAAGTATATTTGAAATTACACTGTGGACTACACATATTTTTAGGAAAATTAAAAATATTTATCCCGGATTCGAACCCGATATCTGCAGCGTATTAAGGAGTGCTATTTAGATGTATCAGCTACGGTTGTTGACTTACTAATAATTTTTCTTTCTGATGCTATGCGATATTAGTGAAATATTTTTTTTTTCAACTGAATGACAAAAAGACAAGAATTACTAGGTACTTGTGTTTGTGGTTTTGTGGGCTTTTCTAAAAAACATGCTGTACTCAATTTATATTCTCAAAATTTAATACATTTGATTTACAATATTTTTATTATTAATAATTTATAAAAAAATAGGTAATTAGGTATTTTTTTTATATATAAACTTTATATTATTGTCTTTTACATTTTTTCTTTAAACTTTAAATTTGTTTGAAATACGATTTAAGATTTATAACTGTGCATGTTTGTCGGGTATTGTTTTAATGCATTTAGTTTTAATATCTGCATATGTATAAAATTCACTTTGTAACCTGTATGAATATGTTCTACATTTGTTTAGTATTAATTTAATAAGGATGATTCCACACTTCAACTAAATTTTTAAATATATATATATATATATATATACATTTAACCGACTTTATTATGATTTATTTATATATATATATATTTAACCGACTTCATAAAAAGGAGGAGGTGAGTTCGACTTGGCGAATTTATGTAATATGGCGTTTGTTTTGAAAGCTAAAATAAAATTTTTATATTTTATATCGACTAATTATTATTGAAATTTATATTGGGAATTATGTCGGGAGTTATTGTAAATCTATTGATACAAAGATAAAGCTCAAGTGCCGTGTTATCTTATATAAACTTAATTTCAATAGGTAACACTATCCATAAGTACTTGCCTATACATTGAGAGGTCTTACTCGTATGTCTCAGATGGCGCCACTAGTCTAAACCTAAAAGATTAATCTGTTTAAATACAATTTTTAACTTCAAGTGCATTTAAACTAAAGATACTCATAATATCCAAATTATATCTATGCAATTTCATAATAATTTCATTTGGCAACCCACCCACCTGCGATACATATAACGGTTTTAATATTACGTTAAAAACAAAATAATCAAGTGAAGGTTGACAGGTTAGAAAAAAGTTACTTACAGGTATAAAAAAGGCAAAAAAGAAGATATTTGACAACAAAAATGTCGCTTTACCATACAAAGCGCTTCTATAACACAAAACATACAGACAGACAGTAGGTATAATTACAGTTGATTTAGCTTGTTTTATATTCTTAACGTCCCTCAAAAGTAACAATAACATATATTTAGCCGTAAGCAAATTTTCTACCACCAAGTTGCAGAACTACATCGATTGATAAGATCACTCAAAGAAAATTACTAACAATAAGTACGCACAGACTACATAAGACGTTGATGTGTGCGTTTTATTTATTTAATAGATAACACTAGCAGTATAGTACATATGCAACATTTATATAAATATTATATTACGAAGTATCAGCTTTCACATGTACACCTATTACATGCATACATAACACTGAATGTACACTGTTTTCTTTTGAGTGTAACTCTTGAACCGAAAATAAACGGTTTTGTCAACAGTTAGGGCGTATTTCAACTCTTGGTAATACACAATGAATCTCTTTGTAATAGTGTACCTAACGTCATTTTATTAAGCTTTGTTTCCATGAGCCCTATATTTATTCATGTAGCTCTAGTACTAAATTAGCAATAAAAAGTATCAACTGTGGTATTTCCCAAAACAGCCCATAGAGAAGTCGAAGAACCGCCAATAAATTTGTGAAAATGTCTTCCTAAACAAATGCACAATTATTTTTATCACTTACTTTACTTATATGCTTAGAATTAAATATCATTTTATGTGTTTATAAAAATTGTAAATTTTAAAACTACCATACAAATGTAACGATAGGTATATATTGCTAAATAAATATTCTGTGATATTGACATTTTTTTTATTTTTATTTAAATTTATAAAAAAAAACAAAAATATATTTATGTATATTGAAAGAGCAGAATTATTAAAATTTTAATAAAGGTTTAATAATATTTAATCTCGTTAGGTAGGTATTTCTTAAATCTGAGAACAGCAAAGGTTTCATCAAAATTAGATTTCATTGTTTGTGAGATATGCGCTGATAACTAATATAATAAACGACGAGACAAGATGAGAACGAGTTATTATTGAAGTAAAAAAAAATCAATCGGTGTCGTGGGATACCCGGTAGGTGCAAATTCCCTTTCGCTGTCATATAAAAATGTAACAGTCGAATCTGTACATTAAATATTTTTTGGAAAATCTTATTGAAATAGTCATTATTATCGATACAGATTCCGAATCTGTAGTTTTTAGAATTTTTGTCAGTCTGTCTGTGATCGCATCACGAGAAAACCACTGGACAGGTTTTGATGAAATTTGGAATGATGATAGCTGGTTATCCGGGTCAACATATAGGATACTTTTTATTGCGGTAAACCGTAAAATATCTCATCTCCGAGAAATCTATACTAAACGTAAGAACGTAACTAGTTAGCTATAAAAATGATACTGTCACAAGTACCCACTAAAGTCTCATAAACATCAGGCAATTTATATTATGTTGAAGATAATCGAAGAAAAATTTACACAGAGGGCACACGAATTTCCACAACATACACTCTTTAACACTTATGCTCGCCTGGTATTTGTGATGACTTCACTCGGGGTGCTCTTAGTATATAATAAAAACTTTTTAACAAAAAAATAAAAACCGACTTCAAAAAAAAGCACTAAAAAGTAAAAAATAACTGATTGGTAGTTTTCATTTACTATACATACCTAATCAAATATTTTCGAAGTCGGTGTGTTTTGCTTTGTATGGGCTGGCACCGATTTCGAAAATATTTGATTAGGTATGTATTTAATAGGTAGGCTTTAATTACTTAGCCAAAGCACATCGACTTCGAAAATATTTGATTAGGTATGTATAGTAAATGAAAACTACCAATCAGTTATTTTTTACTTTTTAGTGCTTTTTTTTGAAGTCGGTTTTTATTTTTTTGTTAAAAAGTTTTTATTTTTACCTTTTTAGTGTAGACAGTAGTAGCAAAGTAAGGATTCTAACGTGTTAGGCTTGTCAAATCAAACAAAATAAGCCCAAACTCAAAGTATCTACTATTAGCCGTTGAAGAGTTCCACCTATCCACCTTCTGGCCTTGCCATCAGATCAGGTCAACAACACCGAACCACTGTACTATCAACGGAAATAGAAATACTTGCAAAGTTTCAAGTCAATATGACAATTAGAAGTAGGTTAAATTCATCATTAGTTGTTTTTCCACCCTTAGGGGTGGTATTTTTTTTTGAAATTTAAATGGGATCAATCTGGAAGTATACCCTTTCAAACAAAACAAAAATTGTCCAAATCGGTTAATAAATGACGGAGTTCTGAGGTAACAAACATTAAAAAAAAAAAAAAACATACAGTCGAATTGAGAACCTCCTCCTTTTTGAAGTCGGTTGATAAAAAGTGTCGTGACGGTCGAAATATTACACTTGTTTGTGTCTCGTTCTCACTCGCCGAGTGTGCCGAATATATTATTAGTTATACGAAGCTTTGAAAATCAGTTAAAAAAAAAATAAAAACTTATTTACACCGATTGTTTATTTAAATTAAACATTTGGAATGGAATTAAAAAATAGAATTACATTTGAAATAGAAATAAGATTTAGAAGATGTGTTTGAGACGACAATTGAAATAAAACTGACTGGACTATGCTACAGAAATATTACATTGAATCCTAAGGGAGTTTTGTCAGCAGTCTTAACTAAGCATTTCTTCATACAATCAGCAACATATAACAGTACGATAAAGCGCTTCGTTTTAAAATGACATATCTCATAGCTATAAGATATTTATGTTACATAAAGGAATCTAAATGCTTAAGAAAGAAACCAGAGGTGCCTATACCGAAGAAAGTATAATGTATGAATGAAAAGTGTGATGGTTGAGATGATGGCTAATAAAGCGTTATAAAAGAATAAACATTGTTTCGTAGCTTGGGATAAGGACAAGGAGAAGAATAAACAAACACATAATTTCATGTGATAAAGCTCCTTATAATTGGCATAACGTAAAATGTAGTAAGATATTTCAAGCAATTACTTAAAATAAGAACTAATGCTGTCGGCAATCTTGGTCCTTCGTATAACACTGAAACAAAAAATTTTATGATACTTATATCTATATTAATGTTACTGAATATTAACAATTATTAGATACTAGCACGACCCTCGCTTGAAAACCAAGAGAGCAAGCTCTTAGATAAGTATTTTGTGATCTTTTTGATTAAATAAAAAATAAATTTTCGCTGACACACTCATTTCGCTATTGTCCCTTGGTTCCTATGTTTTACTCTAAGTCATAGTTTATCCAAAACAAAATTTCATTCAAATCTCTGACCCTGTTTTAGAGTGAAGGAGAAACAAACATAAGCACAAACACATACATAATAGTCAGATCATCGTCCTAAAAAAATGTTTATATTTATAATATTAATTTGCAAAATATTTATAAATACATTAGGGACTTATCCTTGCTTCACTCGGGTGCATAGGTACGTTTAAAATATATATAAGTAGTTATTGCGAGTGTGAGTACCTTAGGACACACATACATATATACAGTGTGTATACGAACAAACAAATAAACGCGAGATTATAACATAAAAAAAAAACAACCAAAAATAAATTTAAAAAAGGCTCAAAAACTATGGTGTTCGCTATATCCATACAAAAGTGAAAAACTGAAACTACAGAATCGTAACTTACGAGAGAGTGAGATGAATATAGAGTATGAGGAGTTGGATAATTTTATGGTTTATTGTTTTTATAATATTTTTACCAAGATTAAAATTTATTTTAAACTTTATTTAACAGATATTACATTACATATTATTCAGTATTATTTTTATTATTTTTCAGTTCCTGCGTAATGTATTCTATATCACTCTATCGCCGGTTTAATCCTATATATTTACATTTGTCTCCATATTTTTTTTATTTACGCGGATATTTGACATTTGAAATACATAAAACTATCTTTTCGGATTATTTCGTGGATTTATTTGGATTTTTGGTTCCTGACGTTTCGAATGCTTTACAGCAATCATGGTCACGGGAGAGACTAAATATTATTTTGGCTCGATGGTGACTTTATTTAAAACTAGCGATTCACCTTCGCTTCGCTCGGGTTCGTCCCTAGCTTATTTCCCACTACAAACTTTCATCCCCTTAAGGGATGATTCCGGGATAAAAGTACATATTCGGATAAAAATATATAATTTATAGATATCCGGGATAAATATATCCTATATCCTTCCCAGGGTCTCAAACTATCTTCTTACCAAATTTCATCTAAATCAGTTTAGTAGATCCAGAGATTACACCTCAGAGATTACACCTACAACAGCACAAACTCACAATATCACAAACTTTACCTCTTTATAATATTAGTATAAATATACTTATTTGCCTCTTTGTCGGGACACATTTCTGTTTTATCGAGTTTTACATAACAACGATTCTAAAAAGTAAAACAAACCAAACAAACCTCTGAACACGCTGTAAGAGAACACAGCGCCATACAGCGCGGCGGTGGCGTGGCGCTCGATGCGCGCGCGCCGCGCCCACGCCAGCGCCGGCAGCGCGGCCAGCGCGCTCGCCTGCGCCACGCACAGCGCCCGCAGCACGCGGCGCGCGGGCGCTGCGACGGGGGAGGATTTAGTTATTTTGTCGACACGTTTGGCACTCGTTGTGAGAACTGCCAGCGGTCGCGTGTTCGAGTCCCGCTGGGGGGATTCATTTGTATGATGAGCACGAATGTTTGTACTCCAGTTTATATTTATAATATGTATGTATTTAAAGTTTTATATGTGTAGTGTATCAACTGTCCACATATTATTATTATTTTTTACCAACATATTTATCTATTTATTTTTACCTATTTTAACCTAGGGTGTAAGCCATATCCTAGTACTTCTCTAATAGCAAAAGTGGACCGAGGGAACAACCCCTATCACATTACAACCCCATGGTTGTTGCGGTCTGCTTCGGCAGGCCTGCCATCGATGCGTCGTGGTTGAGTGTGTAAATGATACCCCATTAAGATGAAGGAGGTTCTGTTGATGGGTTTTAGTGAGTAATACTGGTTTGCCGGTGAATCCAACAACCTGTACCTATAATTGTAATTGGTATGCCTAAATGCATTTTCCAATATTAAAAAAAATGTAAACTACTTCCAAACGAAAATAAATTTTTTTTATAATGCTTTTAATATGCTTATTCTTTAATACTTTAAAATTTCAATTAAATCAAATGTTTTATCAGCGTAAAAAAGTGAAAAACTCACGTGAATAACATGATATACTATCAACTATGTTAAGATCTACCACAATATAAACACATTCCACGATAATATCATTTATTAAACTGAGAGATATTCGAATCGCTTATTGCTAGGATTCTCATATCATATCTATGCAGTCAAGGCAATCCTCCGAGTCAGTATAAAGCTAATAAAGAATTCCATTACACACACCTCTTGGCTAATCACTAGATATTAGTAAAAATAACAATAAAATAGCTTAAAATAGTTCCTATTATTTTAAATAAAACTATCTTTTCGGATTTTTTTCGCGAAAATACTTTGATTTTTGGTTTCCGACGTTTCGAATGTTTTACAGCAATCATGGTCACGGGAGAGACTGAGGGGTTAGATGTCTCTAAGGTACTATATAGTTGTTACAGACAGCCTACCCACAAATAACAAAGTGAATTCAAAAAATTGAAAAATAGCACTAAAGTATGTACCTTACAATATTTTTTTACACACACACACATATATATATATATCAGAATATTTTACAGTTCCTATTACTATTTATAGGAATATATTTCTAAGTATTTTTGACAACTTTACAATTTAAATATAATATTGTAAAATAGAACAATTACCTTTATCTTTCGACGAATGGAATGTCAATAGAGTCATCATTAAATGAGATGTTGATATAAACACTATGATGCCTGAAATTACATACCTTTTAATTAATTTCAAAATTATATTATATTACTAAATAAGTTATTTTATTTAAGAAATTTAGCTTTTGTTGGTTTTTAAAATAATAAATAAAATAAATAATTTTAAAATATTAATATGTCATAAGAACTTACAATATATAGATATATGCTCTATATTTATTTTTAGATATTATGATCTAAAAAATATCTATAGTAGAAATATTATCTGGGATTAAATCCATTTTTTTTTGATTATTTTATATATTTTTTTATATTATTTCTATAAATATAGTAAAATTCTGAGTCGAATCTGTACATTAAATATTTTTTGGAAAATCTTTTTCAAATAATCATCATTATTGATACAGAGATCAAATATACAGTTTTTATAATTTTTGTCTGTCTGTGAGTGTGAGAAAACTACTGGGCAAATTTTGTTGAAATTTGGTATGATGAAAGCTGGTTATCCGAGTCAACATACAGGATACTTTTTACTGTGGGAAAATATCTCATATCTGAGAAATCTATACAATCTTTAAAATGTAACTAGGGGCGAACTCAAGCGGAGCGAGGGTGAGTCGCTAGTTAAAATATACATATTATGATTTTAATATTTATATTTTATAAATTTCTATTGCATATGAAAATAATCATGAGATTAATAAAAAAATTACCAATATTAACATACCAGCGAGTGTAGATAGAAACTGTACATAGAAATCTTTCTCCCAAATAAAAAGATCCACAGAGTCTTTATCTTGATGATCCCATCCTTTACAACCGCTGTTCCATGGCTCGGGTATTGTTATATTTATCGGCAAAGTACTGAAATATATATTCATTCTAATATTATAAATGCAAGTAAGTATGTCTGTTAATACTAAACATACCTTATTCTAGTAATCTAAATATTTCTTTTAAATTTTGAACCCCTTTATTTTTGTTCTGTTGACACTTGGGGTAATTTTTATATTCCTATCCACACTGATAGTAGCATATTATGACTTCAGAATCTTATTTAATACTAGGGACACACGCTTTGCTAGGGTTCATCCCTGGACAAAAACAAGACTATTTTTCCAGGATAAAAAGTAACCTATGTGCTATTCCAGACTATATATATGTATATATATATATATTATCTATCTATGTGCCAAATTTCATCCACATGAGTTCAGCGGTTCTGGTGTGATTGAATAACAAAAAACATCCATTCAAACTTTTGCATTGTTAATAATAATTATGTGATTATTTTTCTGCCTGATTTTTTTGTATCACATTATTTCATAAGTTTTAATAAAACTTATTTAAGTAGAACAAAATAAACTCACAAATGAAATACTTACATTTGAGTTGAATTGTCCGTACCATTACTTTTAATATTGCATAAAGTATTTACAGTTATAGTAAACAAACTGTCATTCCTCCATGTTGCAAATGTTTCCAGCATTAGTAAGACTATGAACAGCTTCCAATATAGCTGAAAATGCAATCAAATAAAGGTGAAAATTTGTATGTATGTTTATTACTTCAAACTGAAGCAGCAGAATGGATATTATGGAGATTTAGTACATAGCTAAACTGTAACCTTTTTTTTTTTTTAACGTTGGGAAATGCATTTACGCACGACGTGTGGGACTCACCGGCGTAATACAGCCAGTACTACCCACTAAACCCCAACGAAACCTTCCCCCGTCTTAATGGGGCGTCGCAGGATCGCTTGCGCATTCAACTACGACGCCCCGACGGCAGGTCTGCCGAAGCAGACCACCACAACCATGGGGTTGCTCCACAGTTCACTCTGCTAACAGAGAAGTACCAGGAGCAACCCGCATGGTACACCGCCCCCTAAAGAGGGCCACCTCCCACCGCCCACCGAAGTGGGCAACCTCCCTGTGCGTTTCTTAGCATCGCGCCCGGTTGGATTGCCGGGCACTACTGAGCCCCCCCACCACGACAAGGTGAACGCACGTTGGGGGGAGCTAAACTGTAACCTGGTGCAACCCATAGCCTACTGTTAGACACCTAGGTACGTGAAGAAGAGTTGCTTGTATATTCATAAAAGTTTTAACTATACCTACATTAAAGGTTTCGAAAGTAGCACATAAAATTAAAGAACATCCTACTAATTTCTAAATTTAGTTTGTACAGTATTTTGTATTCAGTCCTTTTTTTTTTAACGTCCTGCTGCCAGACATGGGCCTCTCTTCAATACAAAGGGGGTCAGGTCATATTCTACCATGCTGGCCAGCATGGAGCATAACTCTTAACTAATTATAATTAAGCGATAATGTGTTATGTCCTGAAAGCAGTACCTATATAAAACAGGAATTGACAGTTTTGTCAAATTTGAAGATTATTTTTTAGGTTATTGTTTTTAGTGAAATTATCAAAATATTAACACAATAAAGCCTTATTTGTTATGAAAATATGGATTTTACAAGGAAAAGGATGTTTATTATCGGTTATAGGTATGTTTATCTTTTGTAATGACTTATATTTGGAGCCGCATCCCGTATACTAAACTGCAGCCACCTGAGATTTGAACTCACTTCACTCGGTTTCCCAAGAGAGTATGTTACCCCTGGGCTGCCACTGCCTACAGTAAAGCTGATTTTGTTTAATATCCTTCTTTTTCTAAAAATGACTTCAAGTCAAGCCTTCATCCTTTTTAGTACAATTTATATTGAGAATATTTGTAAAGAGAAATAAAATTATAAGCAACATATCTGTTACTATCTACTAACCTTAAATTCTGTGTTATAAATAACATGCCTTTGGGCTTCCCTTGACATCAGCACTAGATCTATCATTACTATTACAGGATCATACTCTATATATTTATCTACAATTCCTTTACAGCTTTCCTAAAATCAAACACCAAAATAATAAATATTAGAGGTAACTATTACACAAGGAAAAAGCAGTAGAATCCATACATTTAATAAAATATTTACAAAGTGAAATCTGTACATGAAATATTTTTAAAAACAATGCCTGTACTTATTGTGTACAGAATATTATAGATCCTAAATTTTTTTTTTGTCGGTTAGTCTGTATGTTTGTGTGTTAGTATCATGCAAAAATTACTGAACTACCGTTTTTAACTAAATTTTATGTAGCAAAAACTTATTAACATCAACTTTTAGGATATCTTTTAATTAAGGAAAATCTTTCATTCAAAGATGAAATCACAATAACTGGTTCTATTGAGTCGTCCTTAGAAATGTACATTGGCTAATGCTGGATAAACCAGAGATATGTACATAAAACAATACACTAGAAAATAGTAGGTCTTAAAAAGGCCAACAAAAAAGTCAATAATAGCAAATGTTTCCAAAGGTACACTCGCAATAACTATTTTTATCTATTAAAAACACACCCACGGACGCACTTTATCGAAGCGAGAGTAAGTCGCTAGTATTGAAATGTAATGTATAATGTGAAACTGTACTTACACATTTAGTAAGCTTTAAGACCGATGGTCCATATGTCCTGTAAAGTGCAGTGGCTGCTTCGCCACAGTTAACGCATCTGTACTGATTATTTTCAGTCATTTTGTTTACAATGGAGTTACTGGATAAGTGAAAACTATTCCATTCTTGAGCTCAATAATGAAAATTTCGCATCTTCAATAATAATAGTGGCCTCATTTTCAAATTACTAATTGATTCACGATTCTAGTTTCTACAACTGCATACGATTTCATATAAAAATAAACGTAATTTCTATTAATTAAATGATTAAATGTTCAAAAAGATAAAATCTGAATTTTGTAATAAGGAGGTTATGTTTATCTATTTTGTTTTTAAGTTTATTTGAAAATTCTAAATTTAAGCTGTCATCCATGATTTAACCGTACAGACAATAAAATAAATGATACAAGTTTTTGACAGATATTTATTTTGAATGTGGCAATAACTGATAATAAAAACAATATATAAAATAATCCGAATAAAATAGAAGCGTAATATTATAAAAATTAAAAAAGCCAGTTTTCATATTATTCTGTATTAGCAAAATCTTATAAAACCTTGAATGTTGTTTATTCTGGACGGCTTTTTAGTTTAATAAAGTTCCGTTAGATGGCGCGCAACATAGTTCTTATTGTAGGGTAGATATTCACATAAAGTCTAATTTTTAATACCTACGCGAAGGTAGTCCTACCTAAAAATGACTTACTAACTAAAGTGGTGAAATATATTTTTAAATGAAAAAATACTTCAGAAATAAAGTTATGAATGTCAGTAGGACTGTCTAATGTCTAAACCTACTGAGAATTTCAATGAAATTTATAAGTAATATTTTCTTATCCTCCTTCTACGGAGTATAAGCGTAATTTGTTATTCCCTAGAGCCAAGACATTCTAATAAATAATTGTTATGTTATTTCTCTCTAATGTAATATTCTTTAGATGGTATCGCTATTGTGTCAACCTCAACTGAAATTAAACATCCGATAATTATTGGTTTGTCATGCTAAGAACTTTCATAATTCCTATGGATGGTGAATGGAAATATTCTTCTTAGGTATCAGCGATTTGCCTAAAAACGAGTTAATAAAAGACAATCCTACTAAACGGTATTTCATTAAAAATCTATATTATCTATTTTTACAGATTAGCTATTTCTAATAATGACACAATTCTCTCATATATTTAAATTATGTTATATAGTAGGTACTAAAGTTAAGTAAATGCTAAATATGTAGTCCATATATGGTACAATACAATAAATAAATATGTTGGGACATTAACACACAACACCATCTAGTTCCATTGTAAGCTGCGAGCCTTGTGTTATAGATAGATACCAGATAGTTTATTCACTATACATATATAACTTTAAATACATATATATATATATATATATATATATATATATATATATATATATATATATATTATAAATATAAACACCCATGACTGAAGTACCTACAAACATTCGTGCTCATCACATAAATGAGTGCCTCAAAACGGGACTCGAAACCGCGATCGGTAGCTTAGCAAGTAGGCACACTACAAACTGAGCCAAATGTCTCGTCAATATAACATTTACATTAAATTGCCTACTCGATCCATTAATTATTATGATAGATCCCACTATATTAAAAGCCATCTTGCAGGCTTCTAATAAAACTCCGTGTGTAATAGTTAACAAGTTAATAGCTAATCCTCAAACATACATTACAAAGTTGTGTAGTTACAAAGCACTTAACAGCTTTAAGTGTTTACGCCATAACGAAACTTGCCTTGTTACTGTGCTTTATTGTTTGACCATCTCTGTACTGTTCCTGCGAGAAGGATAAATTATTGTTAGGAAAATATTTCACTGTGAAATTGAATAACAACAAGGTTTATTAGTGAATAAGCATGTTTTAGAACTTCATACATTTTAGCTTAGCTTTTGTAATTTCATACATTTTAGCACCTTAGAAGTCTGTATTTTTTAAAGTTTTATATATTACAATATATTCATCGTTTCTCTTTTTTTAAAGATAAATTAGATTTAGTATTAAAATATTAATACTAAATCACTATAATAGATTTATGACGAAAATTGACCAATTTTTTAGAAGATGACAGCATAATTGAGAACATTTTCAGGAATGCACTAAAATTAAAAGATTTAAAAAAAAAATTAAAGCTTTGCTTGTATACTCATATATTCATAGAACGTAGACATCTCTCACAGATAGAGTGGAGCCATGGGGTCTAGCCATGAGTTTTTATGTTAGTTTTATTATGACAGAATTAATCAGGAAAAGGACAAAAATTCAAAAGTATTAAATAACTGAAAAGTGCAACTCGAAGCTCTTATTGGTCGTCTCTCGTCGCTGACCGCAATATTAATTTCGCATTTCATGAAAACCCATTTTTCAAAAGGCCGAGCCTTTTGCTATTAACTTCAAATGCTCTTTATATAATGCGACACGATTTTTCCCAGACTTCATATTTTACAAATTGTACGAGTATATAATTTGTTATTAATTTTAGGAGAATTTCTTTATATACTCAATTGTTACTATTTGCCAGTTTGATTGTTCTATGCGTATACGGTTAAATATAATATTATAAAAGTAAATAACGTTCTCCTAAATGGTTTTTAAGGCAGTGGTAGCCTAGTGGTAACGCGCTCGCTTTAGAAATCGTTAGGTCAAATCCCGAGTCTTGCACTTCTGAAATTTTCATGTGCGAATCATTTTCCAACATGATTACCTATCTTACGGTGAAGGAAAACATCGTGAGGAAACCTGTATGTATGTCTGAGAGAATCTAGCATATTTTCGAAAGATATATTATGAAGTTCTGCATTTGACGCACCTGAGCCCAGCAGTGGAACGTTAAAAGGCTACAGATGATGACCAATATTATAAACGTGGAAGGATGTTTGTTGATAATCCTTCCTACAGGCCGCGATGACTTTTTACATGGCGACTTAACGTATCAAAAATTTACAGCAGGCACAAAAATTTACTAACCATAGGTAGGTAAATTTGCTATCCGTAAGTATTCATAATACCGTAACCGTACCGTAAGCAGTCATTATAATTTGATGTTGGGAATGTTTTAATTAATAATATGAGAGAAGAATTTATTTTAAATATTACAAAAAAAAGTTTTTACTTAAAACATCACGGTGGTTGTCTGTCTAATTGTACTCCCTTTTCAACCGACTTCCAAACAGAAGGATGTTTACCGATTAGTTGAACATGCCTGAACCGATTTGGAAAATTCTTTTTTTGGTATACATCCCAGCTGGTGGTCCCATTTAAATTTTATCCAAATCGGTCGAGTTTTTTTTTACATAACCACAATAAATTACTTTTATTTTTAAATATATGTCTTAATCGAATATGTTATTAAAAAAAAAAGATTCCGACGAATTGAGAAACTTCTTGTTTTATGAAGTCAGTTAAAAAGTTTCTTCTCACAAATTACCTGCTTATTATGTCTACACCAAAAATGGTAAAAACTTAAAAAAACCGACTTCCAGGCACTGGTTTTCGATTAGATTAGGTTTTTATTTATAAATACTTAATGAAGTGAGGGCTCGTCGCTAGTAACAAAATAAAGTGACAAAGTTTCTTAACGCGTCCAACTAATTAATATCCAATGAAGTCACTTCTATAAAGAGGGATTTACACAGTCTATTTGTTATTTTTTAATTTGAAATCTTATCCGTTATTACTTTCTTAAAAAGGGCTGAATACATAGACTTTCTTAGATTTATAAGATTATTTGATATTTTAAATAAAACTATCTTAACGGATCATTTCGATTTATTTTGATTTTTGGTTCCCAGTTCCATTTTTGGCAACCAAAAATCAAAATAAATCCGCGAAATAATCCGAAAAGATAGTTTTATTTTATCCGCTAACTTTAATCTTAAATTCTTTGGTTTGGATTTCCTGATCTTTTTATTTCTAAACGGGACACTATCGTAAGGTTGCAGGTAATTTATCACCGTTGGATGCAAAGCAAAAAGTTTGAGACTCTGTTACTTTGAGCTTCGATAATTACTCTTTACTGGCGGAAAGGTTATCTATGTAAAAGATAAGAGGTTTTAGGAAATACGAGGATTTTTTACGGTAAGCCCACTGACTGATGTACTAAGCTTTGGAGATTTTAAAATACGGTAGTTTTGCTCATAAAGTTTCCTGCATTAATGTTTTTAAATAGCTTTTCCAGTCCTAGCCAGGACGATTTACTGAATTGATTTTGTTAATAGAAATCTAAAAGTATTTGAGTAAGACCTATTCTTATCATGTGATTGAAATTGTTAGGTAAATCATTCCCATAATAGTTCAAATTTCTATTAGCGATAACGATTAAAAATGCTAAACTTCTTCTATATTGTTTCCTGTTTCGTCGGTTCCGTTAATTAAAGCATTGGTCTTAACGTATTATTGGTACCTACTTATTTTTATGCATAGCGAGATCAGGCATCTAAGTGTTGAGCCACCGTGCTCGGAATTCCCATATAATAGATACCTACCTAAAGGTTTTTAGCTATCTCTAAGCGATTTCGATTGTAGATAACCAAAATAAATAATCATAAAAATCTCTTTCTTCTAGCTATAAGCTATCGTAGCATCGTCTGTTATTGCACAAGTATTCAACGTACAGTGTAACGGCAGCATGAGATTATTCCATTAGCGTGGCTTGGTTGCTTTCGGGCGATTTTAAAATAATTGGACGTATAACTGAATCAGGCTACGTGGTCTAGTTGAAATTCGTTTATTCCGTCAAAGCACTCTCGATATTGAATATTTAAGAGCTAAAACGCGAATGTTCGGCTTCAAGAGATTAAATAGATATTTATTTACATTCATTTCGTGGTTTTACGTTTGTTGTTTTTCTTTGACAAGAGGAAACATTTGAATAAATCAAATAGTCAACTTTTCTGTCCGTGTTATAAGATACCAGCGACTCATCTTCGCTCCGCTTGGGGTCGTCCATAGGAACGTTTTCATGGATGGTATAGATTTCTCAGAGATGATATATTTTCCAGCAAAAAATATATATCTTATATGTTGACGCGGATAACCAACTTTC